TTGATATTCTTACTAAAAATATCGATAATGATAAATAAAACTTTTAGGATTAAACCAGTAAATAAGCATAAGAGAAGGCATAGTAAAGTTCTCGGGCCTGACGTTAAAAAAGGGGTGGCTTACCACGGGAGAACACATATTTATGTTGTTAGAATACAGAACCTCTAATAGCAAGTTCTTCTACTACAGCTTTTTCTCAGGCAACGAAAAGGAAAGAAGAAACCTCTACCCCCCAAAAAGTTTCCTTAAACCTTTGAAAATGGTAAGTTCTCTCTCTACTTCCACACTATATAAACAATTCTTTCCTACTCAGGGAGAAAACAAAAAGTTGGAATTATAGAGTGGGTAATTAGAAACTTGATTATTTTTGTACAGTTAATAATATTATAATTGATATCACTTAGCAAGTAAAAACCCCACCCTAACCTTAAAAAAATATGTTATATTTAACAGCTTTACTCTTTTGTTTTCTTTTTTCTCTCTTGCTATGATTGTTGCTTCATTTAATGTTTTACTAGTTGTATATTTTATGCTTTTTATTTTTGTAGCTATTGACTTTTTGATTGACATCCTGCTTGCTTTGGCTTTAGCCGAAATTTTAAGTAGTTATCTTGAATCTTTTCTTGATAAAATTTTACGTCTTGGGGATAAATGTTTACATAATTTATTCCTGGAGTTCCATTAACCCTAAAAGGATATTAAATTCTGAAAGGGTTTTCTAAGAAATTACCGATGTCTTTCTTTATTAATATAATAAAAATTAAGTTTTATTACCTTACTCCTTGAGGCACCTTACTTTCACCTAACATTGATAAAATTATTGGTCTCGGCCCTAAATTTTGTAATAATAGGAGCTTTGATAAAAATAAATTTTATCACACTTTATATGACCTCTTTATACAAATTGGACTTAAGTTTACTTTTAATTTTTACTAAACACCTTAAACTAAAGAAGAACTAAAAATATATGCTCCTAACTTAAATTTAAATTCTCCTAAATTAGATGGTGTTACTGAAGTATCTTTTCACTTGTGACAGATAAAAATTAAGGGCCTGCCGTTATGACAAGTTCCCAATATATTGCTTGGGTTCAAAACCATTTAAACTTACCTGTTTATAAAGTATTGAAAACAGTCGAAGAAAAATTAACAGTTTCTATATAAAAAAAAATTTAAGTTATTTTATAACGGACTTCTCCTGGAATTAAATTCATTAAAGGTTAATTATAATATCAATTTTCAACGGGTAAACAAATAAAAATTATTAAGTTTGGTTTTCAAATCACATTTAAGCTTGTGAGGTCTACGACATGTGCCGTACTAAAATTTATGTTTTACTGTTTACCTTACTTTAAAAAATTCCATAGTGTTAAACGAATTTTTTGTTCTTTTTAAAGTTAAAAATTACTTCATTTTTATTTTGGTGATTTTTTTTAAGTGTTAAAATTAAGATTCTTTTTTTTAAAAAAAACTTTGTTTTAAATGTGCTTTTCTATTGAGTATCTTTTTTTTAAATCTTTCATTATAAGGATTCACTCACAGCCGCAATTAAGCAATTTCAATTAAGTAAGTGTAGAGGAAAAAATCAGGTTAAGCAAATTTAAAGTCTTTTAAACGACAAAAAATTGTAGTAATCCAATGCTAAAAAAATGTTTAGCGTAGGCTTCCCACTTTCCACCACTCCCCACCCTTCCGCTTCTCCTTTTTAGGAGAAGCTCGAAAACAATGATTGCCGGCTTGCATTTTCGCTGGACGTCCCCTTCAAGTCGTCGGAACTTTGATATAACTGCTTCTCCTGGTGATGGTTTTCTCAGGACAACTGTGACAAAAATACGTGCTAGTGGTAATTCGTGTTCCGATCCCTCTCGGACGTAATGAAAGTAAAAGTGCTCCTAATACTGACCATGATATGCTTGTCTTTGGTAAGAGTACTTAAGTTTTAATCTAATTCGTTTTTCATTCACTATAGAGGGACTGAGTAAAAATTAACAGTCTAGAGGGGACTAACACAATCGTCTAAAGGGCAATGAAAAGTTTAAAATTTCTAGAAAAACTAGTTAATTTAGTTGTCCTTTAGACTACTAAGTTGTCTATCAACTTCGACTAATTCGCCCTCTAAATTTATCTTTGTTCTAGCCTTATACACTAAAACTATTACCTTTACTATATCGTTGGTCCTCTAGATGGACATACAACTACAACACCGAAAAAGAAGTAAAGAGCGGAGTAGAAAAAATGTGCAAGTCGCACATTTTTTATTAACCAAATACATATATATACCATACATAATATTGCAATTTAATTAAAAAACTACCTTATAAACAATTGTTAGCTACCATCGACTACTCAGATTTTGAATAGGTGCTGTAAGGTGAATGAAATCTAAAAAAAAAAAGGATTGTAATTTAGAAGTGATAAATTGACAGTTTAAGTCATCCACAATCTTATGTGTGCTTGATAAAAGCAAGTTTCAAAAAATCAATTTAACTAGAAGGGTCAAAGACAAATTGGAATCTACGGCATAAAAAGTAAACTTACGTCAGATGTCACAAAAATCCATGCCCCTTTTAAAAATACGGTTTACCTAGCTAAAAACTGTCTTTGCTACAAAAATACAACTCCCGGTATACCTTTTTATTAAAGGGCAGCTTTGATAGTAAATGGGAAAGTGAAGTAAAGACAGTTTTAAGTAATTCAAATTATTATTTCATTGTATATTGCGTTATTTTTAACAAATTATTTTCATTTTTAACAGAACTAAACTCAGAAGAAAGAGTTATCAGCATATTGTTTCCCATTATTGATCCTAAAGGATAAAAGAAAAGCTTCGGACAAATCAGGCAAAAGTTAAAGTAAACAGCCAAGAAATTCTTTGCACGTGAATTACCCTAGCATTTGTTTTTAAAGCACATGCGCTTCAATTACTTTATTGCGCTATTAATATATGTTAAATAATAGTAAAAATACTGGTGCTTATAACAGAAGTAGTAATATTAAGACTTTTGACACTGAAAATAACAATTATAATAATTTAAAAAGTGGTTTTTCAAAATGTAAATCGTTAATAAAACCATCTTTCGCACAAGTTAAAGAAAATAGTATTAAAGATAAAACATTTATAATTAGTAAGAAAATATTTTCTTTACTTTTTAAACCAGCTGCATTTAGTTGTAAAGTTGAAAAGGATTTTTTTGATAACAAAAATTTATTTAGCGGGTTATATAATTATGACACTCACAAGAATTGCTGTACATCATTGTCTGAGGATAGTGATAAAAAGTGTCGGCCTAACCTAATCTTTCCGTCTAAAATGTGTGATGAATCTAGCCTTCTTCCTTTTTACCTCACACGCCAGAATCTTTTGTATAATTTTACTCAAGAGAAATGTAGGGTAGATGGATATTTTGATATACATGAAATTTTAAATTGTCTTGAATTCTGTGCGATCTCGGGCCCTTTCCTTTTTAATCCATTGGAAACTAATTTTTGTCTTCTCTCTACGTTACCTTCAAATTTTCAATTTTTTCCTTGCAATAAAATTATTAGATTTTTAGCTAATAAGAAGTCGAAAACGTCTTATTTTATTCCAAGAAGTACAAGTGCTGACACTGCCTCCTTATGGGACATTGTACGCTCTAAGGATCATGGCATTCCCCTGGAGTCGCTGCCTGTTACTTTACCTTTTTACAGTAGATTTCTTGCAACTTCTTCTTATTTACCGTCTTCTTTTATAACTCTTGTTGCCTCTGAATGTTTAAAAGCAACAACTGAATTTACTTCTAAGGAATTTTATTTAGCCGATTTAGAAACAAATTTTTTTTGCGATGTAAGTATTGATGAACTAGTCTCGTACTCTTTTTCTGGCAAAGATTTAAAAGAAATTAAAGATTCACAAACAATTTCACTTTCACAAACTAAAAAGTTTCTAACCAATCTCCCCCAAGGCGCTACTGAGGTATCTAGCAAGGCTGACTCATATGTAAATATTAATAATCTAAATTATAGCGTTATTAAAAATACTGCTTGTCTATCTGTTGAAAACAGCGGACTTGGTGTTAAAAATAAAAGTAAGCCCAATATTGATTATGAAAGTTCAGAACACATCTTGAACGAAGGTATATCTGAGCCCAAATTAGCTCAATCGTTTTCAAGAGACCTTAACTCTCAGCTTAGCGATATATCATTAAATATAAGTTTATTAAAGAAAGAAACACGGGCTTCGCAAAAAAGGCTTTTAGACGATACCTCTAGGGAGGTTTCAAAAAGAAATGTTTTGAAAGTTGACCTTCCCGTTCTCCCCACGCTTTTTGCGAGAGAGCCACTTGAAGTAAGTAAATCGCCTGTTCTGCGATATTTCTAGTTCTTAGCAACGTGATTTAAGGGACTTACATAAGTTTAATATAAACTTTTGATATATATATATAGCAGTTGAAAAGCGCCAGTTTAAAGAAATCTCAAGATGCAGAGGGTGGAATTAAGTTACAAGGTAGAACACCATCCTTTTTTTAGGCCTTTTTTATTTTTATTAAAATTTTTTTGATTAGAACTTAACTCAACTAAACGCAAAAATAAGAGAAAAACAAAAATAGTTCGGAAGAAATTTAAGGAGGAGAATCCTAACGAATGCGTAAAATTTAACAGGTTTTCCTTAAGAATAACAGAAAGCTTACTAATAACGACGTTATATATATGTAGTTTTATTTCAAAAAAAAAAAAATGAAAGCTTTATCTCTTCACGGAAATCATCCTGGGAAAGCTAGTACTTTGAGTCCGAACACTGCAGAGTCTCTTTTACTAGAGGGTGTTAACTTTGTTCCTGTGGTTGATCCCACTATGGAGGACATTTGTAGAAGCCTAACTGAGCATATAGCTGATAAAGTGTCTACGATCGTAGAATGCACTAATTCTCCTCGCCACACGCCTGGAACAGCTGCTGAGGTGGAAAGGGTAGTAGAGCCCCCAGCAAAAGTTCATAGGAAGGTGAAGACTGAGGTCTGCCGGTATTACAATAGTGGACGTTGTTCGAAGGGGGAGGAATGCACCTACATCCACCAAGGAGAGATTCTTTTAAAAAAAGAACTTTGCAGACATTTTAAAAAGGCAGTTGTCTTAAAGGAAAATTTTGTCCTTACTCACACGGTGAGTTTGTTACTCTTTCTTTGGTTTTGTTATTTAAAATTCGGTTGGTTTGTTAAATATGGATTTTTTAGACACAAAAACCATGCCTTGCATTTTTTTCCATCACTACCATCACTGTACCCGTAAAGATGACTGTTTGTATTCACACGAACCACTTACCGAGGAGACGAGGTCTTTGCTTTTGAAAGCAGGTATAGCCTAGATTTACTTGATTCTTTTTACTATATTATCTTGTTTTTATAAAAATTCACTTTTTTTTTTTCCTTTACAAGTTAACGAACAAGAAACTCAGCAGCATAGTTTTGAGGATTTACAGAAGAAGCGACAACTTTTTGAACTTAACAAGAAAAGCACTAAGAAAAAGGATAGAGTGGACCCCCGTGCTGGGGTGTGGAGCGAACTGCTGGATAACACTTGAGCCTATACTTGAGGAAAAAAGCACTAACAATTTGTCAATCCTAAATTTTGTTAAAAGAACTTGGAACTGACTCTGTACTTTTTTTCCCCATGATATCAACAGAAATATCTATACAGCATTGACTCATACATCAACCTTTAAAAACTTAACTTTATTTAGTGAAACGTAGTCAGTTACCTACATAGAAAATTAGAGCAAGCAATGATTTGCTTTTCTGTATATATGTATATGGAATTTTTTATTTGCTAAATAAATAATTTTTTAATGGAAAAATTAGAATATTTTAGGGGTAGATAATAAATATTCCTGCAGGTCGGCCTAAGTCTATATTCTCTTAACGGTTATACTGTACTATTTAACATATTTTGATAGTAGGCTTAGTATCCTTTAAAAACTTTGCGTTCCCCATAAACTTCTGCAGCGCGTTACAGCTCATAAAGACAGGAAAAGTGTGGTAGAAAAGACATTTTGAAAAGATATATACCTTTTTAAATGTTTTTATCTAAGGCTAGACACGCATTTATATTTTTTTCATCCCTCAAGAAATAATTCAAGAACACTCTAAAGTACAATATCTACGGCTTTATTATTTTTTATCTACCAAATGAAATCTTCTCTTCAAGCTATTTTAAAGTCTTGGATTCTCATTGCACTTATCTATTCATATGACTGCTCTTTGTCCTGGGGCATTTTTTAGTGCTTTCATATAAATTTTTCTTTACAAAGGGTCTGAGAGATTCGCGTAGGAGTTACTGTCCCCAAGTTATTTTATTAAATGGGGGAAATTTTGGACTTATTTATACATTTGCGGAAGTGATAGTTTTCGTCTTTATTGAGGGAACTCATACCAGCTTTCGTCCTTTGTTTTTATTGCCTTTTTAAACCCTGGCAACTAATAAGTAATCAGTTTTTACGGATGCTAAAACTTTTGTGGAATCTTATAAACTTTGCTGGTCACTGCGTCAAAAAGATCTCTAAAGCATTTTTTATGTATATTTTTAAGCATAATATTATCTGCTTGTTTAGTTAAGTTGACTCAACATACCTTTTTTTAGAAATCTAACGGAGGGACTTATTGGTAATTTTTGTCAAAATCTTAGAGGGATTAAAAAAACCACTGTTATCAAATTTTATAGCCACTAACCTAATTTTGTAACTTTTGTTTAGTTATCAATTTTTACACAAGAGTCACATTTTTGGCCACTTCTACCCTGTCCCTTCCTGGATTACTTTTTCGGCGGATCAGAAGCCCACTTAATAACTTTAAATTTATTAAGTCAGCCTTTGTCTTTATAACATTTTTAAAAATATAATTACTTCAAAACCATATATTATCCGGTTATAATAATAATATAACATTTTCCTTCGGCCTATAAACTAACATTTTAACTTTTTCCCCGAAAAACTTCTTTTAACTTGGCTTCAACCCGCGCAGTCAAATACTTTTTTACATATAAAAGTTTCTACTTTTATTTAAGGTTGGAAAGTAGCCCAGCTTTAAAATAATAACGATTGTGTGAGGCGTACGAAAAACTAGCCATAATTTTAAGATCGAGGGTTCTGAAATTAACTTATAAAACTTAAAGAGTCAGTTGACATATTATTTGAAGAAGTCTACAGAAAAATAAAATTCAACATTGAGCTGAGCGCAGGATGCAAGGACGCACCTGAGAAAGCGGCTGCACTGAAAAGGCAATTTGGCTCTCCTTAACGAGCTGGTCGTGCAAAGCTGTAGATTCGCAGTACAAAGCATTCAAGGCGGCAAGTTCTTCTTCCTTGCGGTTGACCTTCTCCAAATACTCATCGACTATTGGCTTCATTTGGCCAACCACCCGCTCGTAGAGCTTTTAAAGAAAGTTAGAAATACAAAAAATTCAAAAGATTAATCCAAGCATATTAAAAAACCTTTTCAATATTTTCGATAAAGTCTGAACTTTGTGATGAGGATTGGGCGAGATGCAATTTCTGCAAAAGTTCATCTATAACGAAAACGTTGACTGTACTCTGCTCGTAAAAAAAAAATTAATATTTAGCAAAGATGATTGTATTATTCCAAACGAAAAAAAGGTATAGATAAAGTGGACGCTTTACAAAAAGATTGCTATTCAGAGCTAACTGTGAGTGAAATTGGGCACCAAAAAAGATGCTCAAGTACGGCTTAATTACAGAAATCCAGAGATTTTAGTATAAAAATTACAAACTAGAAAACCGAAATAGTTATAGTTATATAAGGAAAGAAAAGGATATCAAACAGAAAAAGGAATACAGGCAAGCAAGTGTGCTGAGGAGTCGAGTATCTTTCGACCCTCTGGACGTAATTAGCCGGGAAAAGCCCGACAGAACCGTTAAACTCGCCTGGAAAATATAAAAAATACAAAAACTTATTTTAAAAATTGTCTTAATTTTATTTTTAATAGTAAAAAAATAACATAACTACGAGTAGTTATATATAGAAACTCAGTTTATTTGTATAATTTTTCTTTTTACTATTTTTTACATAATGAATACCTTTCCACCAATCGAGATGCTGGTCGTCCAGGAGCCGGATAACGTCGCCTGCCACGAAACCAAGTTCGCCCTCCTCCATAACCTCGAAGGTGTACAGCGCCTTCACGTAACGCTCCGATGGTTCCTAGCGGGCCTGCTAAGATGAAGCTTTTTTTATTAAGAAGAAAAGTGAGACGGCTGCCGAGGGAGAATCTGAAGGGGAAAGGGCGCCCTGCGTCTCAGCATTCAGTAGAGGGTACAGGGATTGTGAAAGAGGGTGGACGGGGCTCGCATTTTTACATTGCGTATCCTTTAAAAAAAATACAAAAAAAAGTGAATGGCCAGCTAAAAGTCGAGTTACAAGTAAAAGCTGTTTTTTTAAATAGAAACCACCTTCAAAGAAGCTGCCACTGCTGCCTTCAGGTCCGCCTCTTCCTGTTCAGTAAAATCGACAAGAGCACCGTAGGTTAACGGCAGAATACTTAAAAAGTAGTACAAAATAGAAAATAGAACCAAAGCTTGCTCAGACTGTAAATGTGTGACAGGAAGATTTTTCGTTAAAGCTGGAAATTCGTAACCATCCTCTTTCCAAGTGGCGTAAGTTTTATAGATGCTCGTCACATGCGGGTAGTGGCCGTAATCAACCACCCAAGATTGTATTGTTTTTTTAATGAGGTTACAAACCACTACTGGCGTATTGACCTGAAAAGAGGGAATTTAAAAGATTTATTAATAAATTATATTAATAAAAAGCTGCTTGACTATTATTTATTATTAACTAAAAAAATTTACCTTGAGACTTAATAAGCGCGTAAGTTCGTCTAAGACTAAAGGAGTTCCGCAGGCTGCCTGGAACTCCTTCCCACAGTTATTAAAACACCCATCTAAAATCTACAAAGAATATTACTTGAAGGCAATGATAGTGTATTTACTAAAAATGTTAACCGTAACAGAGATGAGAGCTATATTAATATTATGAGAACTAATGTTTTTCACTATCGCTCTCGCAGCCTCTTCTTTTCTATAAATATGAAGATTATAATATAGATCACACTGTTTTTTAACTCGAAATAAACTATACTTTATGCTCGCAGCAGAAAACTTATCACACAAATTTATAATTTTTCCCCAGTCTTCAGTACCTTGATTTATCGCCTGCTCTACAAGAGAATCATATTCAGATGGAGCACTTACTTTAGCCGTAGCCATAAGAGCAAGAAACTTATATTTTAGTTATTCAGGAATTGACACCTTAGATGTGAATTTAATTTTTTTTTAACACACTAAACTTTTACTTTAAAAGATGATGGACGCAAACAACATAGCAAAGGATAAAACAGAAGCGGCGATTGGGTGGAGTACAAATAATAATTCTCAATCAAATTCGCCTATTGAGCGTTCTCCTTATTAAAAATTTAATTAGGTGTTTTGAAATTTTTTTGGTAGTTATTTAAAGTTTTGTACAATCTGGTATTAAGAGATTTAAAACTTGTAATTAAAATTTTATATAAAATTTGGATAATGCACTTTCGTAAAAAGAATTGTTTAAGTGGGCTAGAAATAATTAACGGACTTGGTGTAAATGTCCAAAGATCGCGTGCAAGCCTTAAACATATGAAGAGAATATATTATTCAAATGAGATTATTTCAAGGCCGTTTAGTAGTATATTTAAAAAGGGTGTAAAATTTTTATGTCCGTGAAGTTAGGAGAAGGGATAGAACGTGGTTTACGTGTCTTAAAAATATATGTAATTTATTAACCCCTGCTTTTTCAGCGCTACGGAGGACGGAGGTATTTTGAAACAATTGGCCATATAAAATAATGCTTATAGATTAGATTTGAAAATTGAGCAATTAATAACTAAACAAAAAAATATATCCCTAGAATCAATATAAAAGTGGTCCAGGTTACGTATTTACAAAAAATTACTAATACATAAATAAGAACATAATGGTTATCTTTTTTATAAACTCACCATATTCTTATTTTAACAATTTTTTTTATATATTTTTAGCTTATATAGTCATTGGTTACTAAATGTTGACCCTATATACTCATTATAAATCACTTTGAATTTATAACGAATTGAGTTACATAAATGCTTAAACAAAAAAAAATTATTATTATAAGCCCCCTAACAAACGATTTAGTAAAACCGTCCGTTAATAACATTGCCAGTTAACCTTCCAAAAAGCTTTAGCTAGTGGGCTCACCGCACTCTATCTAATATATATAGTAGTTAGAATCACTCTTTACCAATAGTACCAATACCATACATAGGGCGAGCCTATATAGGAACTAGCACTACTATTCTGAGGCCGAACCGAGCCGAAGCCAAGCGCAACCGCACAAGGCAGTACGCTTAGCCCGAACCCGGTCATGATTCACCAACAGTACCCTGTACTACCATGAAATTCGCTAGTATAGAACTAGTACCATTACACGCGAGAAGCAATAGTCGATAGCCGAAGCCTGGGCTAGACCGCAGTCCCTTGGACGAGGGCGAAGTGCTTCAATGTTGCTCAATTCCTAAGCCTTTAGCTTAAAAGCCTTCGCACGCAGTTAGCGACTTGCAAGAACCAAGTACCTAGGAATCTTATACGTGCTCCATAAGTATGCTAAAAGTAAACACACAGAGGTTTACACGTAACTTCCTTTGCTTTTCACAGAGGATTGTCTCCGGAAGGCAACACTAGTATACATCGCGGGTAACCTTAAGGTTTATATGTCACATAAGTCATCAGTCAAGCTAGAATAGGCTAAACTCGTACCGACGATGGTAGTGCCAAACTGAACAGAATTCAACAAGGCTCGAGATAATAGTATTCCTCCCACTGATACAGGTAAGATAGAACCTGCCAAGTGTACTTATTTCCTGCGTCTTTTTTACCAATTTTAAGAGCCCGTCTTTCGACGTGTAAGTACAAAGCCTTCGTCTCTCCACAGTATCGAGCGAGCCTCAACCCAATTATATTTAAGCAGGATAACCATATTCACGATAGTCGTTTGATGAAGAATCGAGTAAGGTTCAAGTACTATTAATTCGTTTTAGCTTACAAGACCCGAGTATAGTAGAGGGTTATTAAACACTTCGTCATTTCCATGAGTCTATTCCCGACGCGTCAATCCATCTGTGGATGGCAATCGTAGTCTAAATTCCGTGGCAAACACGTACCGAAAGACATCGAGAATAACAAACGCAGCAACCGCGTATTAGACGGACCAATCTTTTTTGGTCACGATACGACATGCATCTAGGGCATATATCGAGTCAAAAGTCACCAACTTTGCTTGCACGAAAAATGTACTTCACGAAGGATCAAAAGGTACGACCCAACAGTCCGAGGCCCGTGACGCAACACGTTCCTAGCGCTCCCATCTGCGAGCCCAACCTATGCAGTTGTCAAAGGCTCTAACTTTACAAATACAATGGTCTTATTTCTGCAGTCAAAGCAAAGTCAAGGAGTTGCATGAGTAAAGTACATGCAACTCGAATAGAGCAGGTTAACTGCTCGTATTCTATATACGACGTTTTCATCGTTTTAATTATATATAGTATAAGCACATTTTTGTAAAATCAAAATTTTTTAATCATTTTATTTTTATTAGTGCTATTAGCTAGATAGTTTTTCATTTGTTGATTTTTATTTAACAGCTAAGTTGCATAATGCTAATTTTATTCAATTAATAAAAGTACATAAGTAGCATGTGCATATAATAACTTTTTATAAAAAAAATAGCGCTTATACCTATGAGTATAATAACATATAAGAGATAAAGAAGATAAAGTAAAGTAGTCCAGGTATAAGCACTTGTTATAAACTCAATTTATAAATAAAAATAAATATTTTTAGGTGTATTTAACGTATCTTTTAAGGTATCTTTATAAAGCTTTTATAGTACTATTACTTGGATAAAGCTAAGGTGATTATGGTACCTTCTTAAATAGGACTCCAGCTTGGATCGTTTGCACGAAACTCAGTAGCTAGAAGTAAAATACTTATCATAAGTATTACAGAAATTGATCTTAGGTTCTATGTTAGATTTTAGTTTATCCTTATTCCGAGTATAACTTTATAATTGTGAATAAATAACATAATTGAAAGTTAGTTATTTCTTGTAATTTTTTAGCTCTCCAAGGTACACGTAAGCTTCATAACGTTAGAACTAAGTAAGGTAACTATGTTTTAGTTTATTGGGTTGTATTCAATTATTTTTGAGTTTTGTTTACTTGAATGTTTAAGCTAACGTCAAGATTGACCACAAAAGTAGAGTACTAAAGTCTCCGTAGTTGCGTTAAAGTGTGTAAATGCATAAAAGCATGTTAACTTAACAGCAAAGTTTGTCATTTTATTCCTTGCTAGTATTGCTTTAGCCTTAAAGTTAGAACTCGTTTGACTTTCATATGGTTATGTAAGTAAAATAGATCTGTTAGAGGTAGTTTAGTTATAAAGTAAATTAATTCGCTACCTCAACGATTTTTAAAAAGGTGAAAGATCTATTAACCAATTGTCAATGCTACAAAATATATTACTCTACGTCAACTTCGTAGCAGAGTTTATATGTTAAGTATAGTTAAATGCTAGATTAATTACTAGTGGCAAAGAAGCTAACTAGTTTATACTTCTTTTATTTTAAGTTGTGAACCAGGCTCTTCACCTTGGTTTCTCAAAGTAAACGTTTTTATTTACATAGATTTTTATTAGCTTTATCAAACTTGTTAGATTTTATCAAGGTTAAGGTTGTGTTACTTTTCGTAAATATAGCAATAAAGATTTATCAATAAAGCAAGCTAACTAACATTGTTTAAGTTTGTTTAAGCTTATTTAAATTATTTTGTATAAAACTTATCTTATTAACTTAGCTAAGAGTTATAGTTCATTCTTATCTTTAATTTGTTATTGTACTTATCTTCCTGTACTAGTACCAGAAAGTAAGTTTCGAGTCTGTTGTAGCAAGACCAGACCCAACTTTTTTTTTTGTTATGGTAAACAAAGTTTGAGTTTTTTTTAAAATTTTTTTTTAAGGTACTGTATATATAGTTTCCGGGGCGTGCTAAATTATTAAAACCAATAACTTTATACCTTCCAAAATTGTTAACAGTTTATATTACATAATTACAATTTATGTAGCGTAACGATCCCCAAACATAAAAACAATCTTTTAACACCAGCTATTTGACCTTAACAGCTCTCTTTAATAACACAGGTCTGCAACCATAGACTGCATAATTTTTTTTTACTGTTTTATACGGGAAAAATAGTTAAAAAATTCCATCACATCAATATTTTTGCGAAACCCATATTTTTAGTTTGATTTTGCGCGAAATTAACCGTGTTGTTAGGCCAGCGGCAAGCTTAAACAGAACATCCCTGCTTTTATGATTGCAAACACTCGTGCCAGAGGCCTCTGTCGGACAAAAACTGACTGGACGCCCCGAGCTTAATATACGGTTGAAAAAATGTAATTAATACCTTGGCTCCAAGTAAAAAAATTTAGGGCTCACGTAGCGTTTGTAAAATCATTGCCAAAAGACGGAAAATGATTCATATACTTGCATTCAAGTTGTCAAAACTGTTTGAATCAAGATGAAAGAGGGAATTTTTACTGGTCTCGCCACACGAAAACTGTTAATCGGTCCCTTCTTCCAGAATCAAAGGGGAAAAAGAAAAAAAGGCGTGAGACTCCAAAAACGTAGTGCACAAGATTTTGGGGGACAAAGGTCCCCTCTATAAAACCAATGTACGACGTCTGTTGGCTGCATAGGGAACTCAAGGCTGCAAGATGAGCTTAAAAGTTCATTTCTTACGCTCCCATATCGACTATTTTCCGGATACTTAGTAAATTGAAGAGCAGTGTGAACGATATTTTAACAGGATGTCCGCACTGCGGATATGCTGGCTGACTACTACTGGGTGATCAAGCCAGATACGGAAAACGAAAAGCGAAATCGAGTTTCGGAGGAGCAGCAAAGAGAAGTAGAAAAGGTTTCACAGGCAAAAAGAGTGAACACAGAACGTTTATGTCATGAAGGAATTGTTTGATAAATCACGAGAATCAATATGTTTAGTCCAACGTAATAAAGTTAATGAATTTTTTCACTGCAGTTTTATTTTTTATTGTAAACGCTTGTTTCTTTGCAAAAAAACCATAACTGACAGGGGGGAGAGGCATTTTTGGATTCAGCATCCTAGAGAATATAAAGTTTACCGAATATTTTTAATGCAGCTGAAAAAAAAAAGTTATTTTTGTAGGCCCCTGTTATTTATTTGTAATTTTGGCAGACTACAGCTAGGCTCCTCTTTGTATATGACCTTATATGCTACTTAATAAGTTAGTATGACGCTTACCAGAGTATCAAGCGCACTCAGGTAGATGGTGAGGTCCCCTGCAGTTTATGTATAAACTGGTATATAGAAAAAACTATATGTATTAAAAAAAAATGGTAACCTAAAAACAAACTTAAATCCGTTTAACCACGCGTGAAAACATTGTATTAGTATTTCTACATTTAGGTTTCTACAGCTTGAAACCAGGAATGGCGCACCTAAGATGGACCCTAGTTCTTGATATAAAGTTTTGTCTAACCTAGAAAGATAAAAATTGACTGGGGCGCATTAAGACTATGCCACAGATGTGTTTGGTTTATAGTTTGGTTATTAGTATTCGTGAAAATAATCTTTAGAATGACTCCCTCGTCATGTCCATAGCCAGAATTTATTAATTTAAAAAGTTGTTTCAAATTATTTTTGTCTTGTATTTTAGTAGAAAGATACATCAATAATATAATGCGTTCGACGCATATTGGCTTAGAAATTTAACTATATGTTTACTTGGTAAAACGAATTTACTTAACTGCTAATTAACCATTTACTTTTCAACATTTACACTAACCTGACCTGTTTTTTTTAAGTTATATTTGGTTAAAACACTTTTTAAATCGGTTTAATTGCCAACTAAAATATCTTAATAGTTTATAATATATTTATTCATTTATTACTGATATATTACTGTCGATATGCATAGCACACCTTACTGCTTATTTGTTATTCCCCCTTTAAACTATAAGGTAAAGAGGATCTAGTACCCCTTAAAGAGCCGTCATCTTTAATGATTGCGTACCAGCCTGTGGACAAGTCATAAGAAGAAAAAAAAAGCAATAACCACCAAAATAAGCAAAGCATATAAGTTCAGTAAATAAAAATCGTGTCAATATTATTTATAAATATACTATATACACGCTATTTCTCTTGTCCATGCTAGCTGAATTATATTAATATATGCAACAAACAATCAGGGTGGTAAATGGAGGCTGGAAGATAGCGCCCTAAAGTGGTGTTCCAGTTTTTTTTTTACCTGAATCATTTTGTAAGCAAGCAATATTATTTGTACTTTATGAGGTGGCGCCTCTAGTTAGTTATACATATTAACAACTCTACTCATTTGTAAAGCAAGTTAATAGATAAGTTATCGTAGCTCTAAATGCTACTCAGTAACTTTAAGGCAAACGCCAGAGAGATAGAATAAACTTGCACTGAAGAAATCTATAAGGAAGGATGGGAAGGCAAGAGGGGAGATCTTGCGAAGAAGCAGAAAGTGCTCACTAGCTTTTAGAATTGCAACCACAATTTACGTACTTAAGGATATGTGAAATTTATGGCTTTTAAATTGCTGGTTTACTATTAAATAAACTTACTAAGTTGTGGAAGTTGTGTAACCCTAATATATATATATAGTGCTGAGCACTATCAAATATTAGTTATATGTGTCCCTTATTCCAATTTTATATTTATACTGTTAGTTATTAAATTGTTTTAGACCAATAATATCGGCCCTACAAAATTTTCTAAGTTCAATTTTACTAAACTAATATGGTCAAGGAACCACAAAGAAAGCACTATTTTGGTAGTCTCTACGCTTAAACCGTTATAGTAAATTAAAAAATACGTTAGCGATTTATTAACTTTTCTTAAAAGTATTTAAGTTCAAAATTTTCAAGTTCAAGAGAACGTTATCCTTTAAAATAACTTTTTTTTCTGACACAGGAGCGGTGGCTGCAAGTAAAAGTGTAAAACTTGGCCATTAATTCCTTCAAAAAAGCTAGAAAAAAAACTTTTATCTTTTTCTTCAATTTTGTACATAAGGCGAGGCGCAAAACAAAAACTGGGCTCCTTAATTGAACTCGATTCTTGAAACTTAACTAGAAAGTGGTGCTATGCAGCTTTACAACATTTAACTCTGGATAAATATATCCCTACGCTCCTTTGGGATACTAGCATGAGTAGGAAATACAGAGGACTTCGGAGGCGCTGAATGTTGGGCATAAAAAAAAAAACTGCGTGAACTTTAAGTAAAGTAGCTATAAAAAAGTGCACCTTCAAAAGACGTTCCTATAATAGTACTTGTCGAACTTTGATGCTTTTCTTTTCCCTATTGTTACGATTTTAAAAATTTTGCTAGGGCCCTTCTACAGCTACCGTAGCTTCGGCCCCAGCAACAAACGGCTAAAGCCTTACCTTATTCCCGCCTTCCGTACAAGAATTTAGCCTGGATTATAAGAGCAGCATCGAAATTATATTATTCGCGGAAAAATAGTTATGTTAGGTTCATTAAATTTTATATAGAAAGTATCGCTGGTAGGATGGTTAGAATTTTTAATAGAAGTGTGGATGCTTTCTTAATTGCTTTTTTTACTTTTCGTGAATATTAATAAAGATTTATTAGTTTGTTATTTATAAAGTGCGTCTCAAAATGAGAACATAACTATTTATTTTAAGAATAACACTTATTTATGTGAAGTAATATAATTAAGCTCTTCTCAAAAAAACAAATTTAATAACAAATTATCTAGAAAAGGTTTAAAAAATTATCTATATTGCTTTTAAGGATGATCGCTTTCAAAAAATTAATTAAAATTTTAAATAACTCTATATAATAACACCTTGAAACTTTAGCTTGAGACTACAAATAATTCTTAAATAAATTAATCATGTACTGCAGAATCGTTAAAGAAATGATATAAAAAACTTGGAAGTGGTTAATAAACGTGAAGAAGAGTTTGTAGTAATTTCCTTTTTATCGTATACTTTAATTTCATCTTCAATACGAGCAGGTTTGCTTTGAGAAATCACAAGAGAATCCGCAGTTGGCTCCTTTGTATATAAATGATGTGTATAATAAATTTCAAATTTATATATATATATATGTTATATCTAAATTTAAATAAAATCAAAGAAGTATTTAAATTTTTTAATTTCTAATTTGGATTTTAAATTTTAACTAGATTAAACCAATTGTAATGAAAATTATACACAAGAACCCCGCGAGAAGGTAATACGACGGACTCAACTTCCAGCTGGGAGCCTTGCTTTTTACCATCCGACTCGCACAAGGCAGCCGGAGTCTTAACAAAATCTTCAGTGTTACGCGATTCTTCTTCTTTGTAAACGCTGTTTATCTCTAACAGAAAAATTTAATTAGAAAAAAAAAATCTCTATAAGTAACAAAATTTTAGTTATTAGCTGTAATTACATAAAAAAATCAAAAAACTCATTGAAAATGATAAATTTACCAGAAGCCTTGAAACAATTCATATACTCCTCCTCATTATTTTTTATAGCCAGACACTTTTGCTCTAATTCTTCAGATAATCTTTAGAAAAATAGATATAAAGTTGATTACGTTTGCTAGAAAGGGGGAGCCGATACCGATCCAGTTCTTGATTTTCTTCCTCAAGTTTACTATTTTCACGGTAAAGTTCGGTGACATTACGAAAAACATCGTTGGTCTTGTTTATAATAAATATACTGCATAAAATTATAAAATTTATTCGATAATTTAGTAACTTTTGCTTATACGTACATTTGGATTACCAATTCACAGAATTCTTTTTTAATGTGTTCTAAATTTTTGTGAAAAGTAACAAATTAATAAAAAGTGTTAATTATAGAAAACTTACTAGCACCTGGCTCTACTGCTACACTGCAGGGAAGAGAGTTATCCTTCCTGTAACCAAAAAATTCATAATACTTAGCGAGAAACTCGCCAGCCAGTTTTTCATGATTTTTTTTTTTGTTGTTCAGCGTTTCGCTATATACTCATGAGTTTTTTTTTTAACAAGAAATTATTTTTTACCAAAGAATCGCACGGTCTTTAATTTTTTCTTCGTAGTTTAACTGGAATTCTTCATATCTGTTAATAAATGCCACCAAATCAAGCCTAATAAAGAGTTATTAAAAGTAAACAGTAATTAATTATTACAGATTTTGAATATATATTTACTGCTAATTATAATTACTCTAAAAGTTGACTTTCTTTGACTTTTAACTCTGTATTTTTACTTTCAATACTTTTTAAAATATTATGAAGTTCTTGTTCATTAGCTTCCCTAGTCTTTTTAATTTTCTCAATTTCTTGATATATAACTATAAAAGTTGTAGGTTTCCTAAATAAGTTGCTCCTACCTTTAAAACGTAAAAGGTTAGGTACCTTGTACTTCAGTTTGCCTTTGCGACAAGAGTTGCTGCTGTAGAGCACTCTCTAAGTAAACAAAAGTTTATATATATATCGCTTTATGAATATAAACGAGAGGACATGGTTTATTAGTGCGCACACTAAGCTACAGTTCTGAATATGCAATCACTAGCGTATTTCCGCATATCTAACCCAACTGCAATTTGCAGAGGTTTCTACTTATACCTCTCTCCAGAGTTCTAACGGTTTCGGCGAGTTTGTCAAGACAGCTTGTCTGCGAAAACATTATGGTTTTCCTTATACGTAGGGAAAAGTACAAAAAAGTAATGCGTTCTTAGCTATAAAAGCAATTTAAAGATATGTTGGGTACATAAAATTTACTGGTATACATTTTGGAGGGAAACGTGGTTTTATGGGCAGGGAAAGAAAGCCAAAACTATCGAAATTACAATTTTACAAAACTTCAGCTACTTGCAAGTAACCTATAAAACGGCGAGTCTAACTTTGCAAACTAATTGCAATATTAAGTTTATTATGATATTTTTTCAATTATTTTTCTATTTTAATTTCATTATTTACCTGTATGCTGACATACAACAATCCCACCCACATTTTGGTAACACAATAAACTGGTTAACCTGATATCTACTTCCTTACCATGACCATTCCCTTTAACTGACTTAAACTACACTTAACCTGCGCCGAAAAAGGGGGGATGGTTTTTCTTCTGGTATCTTCGCTAAACTTTAAAAGGCGAAGTAGTCATTATTAGAAAGCTTTTTTTGCCGTATGGCCTAATGTGCTCCCAATAACCAGCCAGAAAACATTCTAGGAGCGGAATTCTAAGAGTGGGACCCGGAGTCTTCCGGTGAAGCGATCAGTAAATATATTATAATTCATGAGGGCGAGGTTAAATACGCGACCATCAAAGACAGGAAGAGAGCGTCACGTCGGCGGAATCGAACCCACGACCTTAAGTATGGTCTTTGAGCTACGTCGGCAACTCTCAATTTCGGTATGAGGGATTTTGCGTATTTAACTGTTAAATTCCTTCTACGCGAAAAAGCGGACGACCTCTTTATGGGGGCAAAAAATCAATTGTTAAGGTGTCATTCCGCAACAGAGGCCAGATCGTACAAACCTTGTGCCCTCAGCTCGGTCCGCAGAAAATTTGTCTAGGGGAGGCGTGGATAGTTCTTAAAACAGAGCTATAAAAAAATTGGATGCATGAAAACTTTTTCACAAAAATAATTAGTTTACTTTGGAAGTAAGCACTTGAACAGCGCAAATATGATACTAGTAAGAAGTCACTAAAGAAAAAAGATGAAATTAATATTGCTTACTTTAAAACTAAGTACTTAAACAAAAGCGTTACAGAAAGGGGGGGGATTCATATAACTAAATTTTGGATGCAAATACGATACTGGAAAGAATTTATTGAAGAGGAAAGATGAAAGTTACAGTCTAAGAGACCGCGAGCTACATTACTTATAACGTCCTGCTATATCATGCACTGTGTGTTTTCTATTAAGGTCAATAAAGCAATAAATATACCCTACTTCGCTTCCTCAAACGGAGTAGAGCGTAGAGCAGTTGTAAAGTAATAAGCCTTATCTTAGCTTTTTCTGTTACTTAATATAAGTTTGTAGTTGATTCTAATACAAAAGTAGAAACTATTAACTATTCGTGAGCTGTACCTTATGGTCCTAAGTCCTACTTAAGCTGACTATAAAATTTTGTGATGTGGTTTTATTTATTTTTATTGAATTTTAAATTATATTTGTTTTCCTTGCGACAGAGTAAATGTGCATATTACCAAGCTTATGTATTTCTTCAAGTTAGCTTAAGAAACCTACCAATACTACTAAAAACTCAAGTGTAGTATAGTATTTCCACTGCACCGTCTATAAACAGGAAGGGAAAGCCGATTATAATTATTTTCTAAAACTTGGTAGCATTTATTATGGATATTTATTATTATACATCGCTGAACACAAAATCCCTATAAGACGTCCCGCCGCTTAGAATGAGGCGCTTTGAAATCTAACGGAAATTAAATCATACGCACGCGAATAGAATATCTAAGCGAGGTCTATTTTTAAACTTACCTTGTGCTGTTTTTTTGTGGACGTGGCCTGCGCACCTCAACTCTTTACTTAGAATTTGCGATAAATATTTAACATGTATAGAGAGCTTTGTTGAAAATATACTTACAAATATATTAGAAAACTAAAACTACGTAAATTATAACTACTGACTTCATATTACAGTTCTTACCTATATATTCATTTTCTTTATTTTTATTTTTCCTTTCTTTCAATTTCTAACTTTTTAAAAAATATAGGTTTAACTTTATCGATGCATCTAAAAAAAGAATAAGATATATCGTTATAGCATATCATTAAGTGTGGAATGCCGTCCATGGAAAGAATATGACATACAGCACGTGCACTCGTTTAACAATATTGCATATATATATATTGAACCAACACATCCCTACAAAAGCATAGGGTCCTTATGAAAAATTTATTTAAGGGAAGTGATAACATGGTTGTAATAATTATATTTACGTGAACAAGTGAAAAGTCGGGAACAACAATAATTTTTACAAAAAGAGAAATATAAATTAAAACTAATGAAAAATAAAAAATACGGGTGGTTGTTGTTCTTTCTCCTCTCTTTTTCTTCTATCTTTATTACTTTTACCTAGGAGCTTTGAGCTACATTGCTAACTTATTGGCTATGAATGAAAATTCAGAAAAGAGCCTGTTGGTAATATAACTAATAATATTTATGTATTTCGGCCTCACAAATTCTAGATCAGACAGATTCTTTCGGAGTGATATTAGAATTTAGAGAGGCTCTAAAGGTTTTAAAAAACGAGCCTAGTCAAGGAAATAGCTAGTATTAAGAATATTAGTAGTAGTAGCATTATTCTTATGACTATTAGTACCCATAATAGCGTCGATAATAACATAACAGTTGGGAACAACAGTAATAGTAAAAATTATATATACAGTATTAAAAATAAAAATATTAGGAGTAGTAACAATAGTAATAAGTATAAATCTTATAAAAATAATAATAGCTCCAATAAGGGTAAAGACGCCTGGTAGTCTTCAGAGACTCAGAGAAGCCTCAAGAGCTTTACACGACACCGTTGACATTGAGATGGGTTGCGCGTTTGACGCGGCCCATATTATTAATGAACGACCATTCTACTGCGGCACCCCCCCCTGCAGTCTCTTAAAGAGAATATTCCTCCTATTACCCCCTGTGAAAAACAAAAGTCGTCCCTTTTGGTACACTCTTACAATTCTACGACGCAACAATCGCGAGGAAAAGAAATACGCGTGTTTGGCCGCAATCAAGAATTCCAACAGGTCACCTATCAATTACCTGAATACGAACCATCCAATTTGTGGTCCGTGGCGTTTATTGTTAACTCGACACTTCCACCATCGAGGCGGACCTGTGTGCGCAAGTCCTCACATCCCTCCGATTGGCACGAAGGCACACGGAGGATACTGCCAAATGGTGAGCGGAAGAAGCGACTGTTACCACTGTGCAGTGCATATCCCAGAATGGGAACGACAAAAGATATTAGAAATGGAGACTAGTAGAAGAACTTCGAAAAAGGCAATCGCGTTGACCAGTGCCACCACTTCAGATCTTTGGCCACGCTGCAAGGCTTTGCCTTGCGGAACCTCGGTGCGTCATTTGCGGCGAGGTCCTTTGACCGCGTGTAACAAGATTTTATACCAATTAAAATTTAAAGCGTTTTATTAAAAAAATATTTTAATTCAATATCTAATAAACAATGATTAATAACTTATTCTAGAAATTAAGGTTATTTAATATATTAAATTTAAAAGAACAAACAACATCCGCGTTGGTTAATCTAATTATCTCTCCTTGTCTCTTTATTTTCTTTTTATATTTTATTTCTTTATTATTTATTTTTATTTAAACTTGAATATATATTTTATATTTGTTCATATTCTTCTATATTTTTCTCTAAATCCTAGAAGAGATTTACCAAAACACGAGACAAACCCGCTTGATGCGCGAATTGCAGTGCGTCACGTACCCCAACTACCAGGAATGCAAATGTTACTCGCGGAGGCCTTTAACGGTCGACCAGTTGACGCGACAGGCGTCATCCATTTACTCCCGGCGCTACCACTACCCCAACTAAATCCTATGCTTCCCGCCCGAGAGCGAGACCGCACTAAGGGCCCTTTGCGAATAATCTTACTATTGATAATGTTGACTCAGTTGCTCAACAAAAAGAACAGCGAGCGCAACGAACTCTAAGGCAGCTGTTAGCTATTTTCACGACGAATCACTTGGCCATGCCCGAGAACGTGAAAAGCTTAGATTTTGGTGGCAACGCTTTTAAAATTCAAATACTTAACCATATCCGACTACTGTTTTGTGATGCAGAAGACGTCCAGAAAAGGAAAAAATGGGTTGCAGCAGCTAATGCAACGCGAAAGAATAGGTATCTGTGTTGTCAGCGAAACACTTCTCTCCCCTATTGTACCATTTAACATTGCAACTTTGCAACGTATCGCCAGGATCGGTTGTACATCAGTAGTGGAGGAGTAGCTCTACTGATCAAAGGAAGCATTCAAAACAATTTAAAAGCATTACCAACCCTGCAAGGGAATCGAGGCAGTTGGTATTACCCTTAACCTGGTTAGACAGGGCCACCCCATAACCTTATTGTCGGTCTGTAAACCGCTCAGTCAACCACTCACGTTGTTCGGTCTTGATGCCCTTCTAGTGCATGACTTTTTTTCCGACCATTCTATGCGGGAACTTTAAACATTCTGCGTGGAACAACCGGGTTGCAAACCTGAACGACTACGTCCTTAGACTTACGCTGAGAAACGCGGGTTGAGAATCCTAAGTTTTTAGTTGCTCACACACATGGCGAGGAAGACAGGCACAATGGCAGTGTTAAATAGATATACGCCTTTTAACAGCTACTGAGACGCTCAATGAATTGTCGTCGGATCAATTTCCCGACCTGCCAGAATTAGGCGACGAAAAGAAAGCAATAAAGACATTCTCCCGGGCTTACACGAATTGGAAGAATTTCACCGAAGTGCTGGAGAAGATGCTCCTACCGATTTACGCACCACTCGAAATTTCCGGCTAAACTGAATAGTGCTGTTGTCGAATTCGAATGCGCGATGATAAGCCCACAGCAAAGTAACGACGACATGTGCAGTTGTGTAACCCCTCTAAACGCCTTTCTGAGGAACTTAAGGGATCAATATGCGAGCATCGGCGAATCATCCGAGTAGTCACGGCTTTCCAACAAGAAGAAGACAATATAGTGCGAAACCACCTTCACCGGAACATCAGGTTAAAGCTGATGGTGCAAGTAAACTGCCAATGAGATAGCAAATTAAAGGAAGTATCGGAAGCCGGTGAAATCGGTCAAGCCTCTTTTTGGAAATTAGTGAGGCGAGTTAGAAATCGCGATCATTCGACTCGGCCACCACTTCGTAACGGTGATACCGTAGCCGAAAGCGATAAAAATAAAGCAAAACTTTTTGCTGATCATCTAGCTGCCAAGTGTTCGCCGTCTACCCTCTCAAATGTCGACAACGCTCCTCCCGTGCCTAATATTATCTCTTTTGATACAACTGTTTTTCTGGAGCTGTCTACCACAGATGAGATCAAATTGAAGTTACTACCGAAACGAAAGACACCCAACCCTGACGGCATCACTAACCTGATGTAAAACTGCGGCCAGAGGCCCCTATGGATCATCTATGCAGCCTCGTCAACTCAGTGTTGACCTTTGGCTATTTTCCCGGGTGTTGGAAAATGCCGGTGGTGGTGAGGCCGCCTAAAACTTCGCAACTGGCGTCAGAGTCTCACAACTTTCGATCCATCAGCCTTTTTTGGGCAGTTGGTAAAATAGCTGAAGCAGCGATTCTTAACCGTTTGAAAGCGGAAGTGGGCGCTCGTGGAACTTCACCAGAATTTCATTGTTGGATTTCACAAGGGACACTCAACGACCGGCTAATTTCTTCCCTTAATTGAGTGGACTACCCAGAGCCTTTGATTTTAAAAAAGTCACTGGCGCTGTCTTTCTCGATGCTGAGAAGGCTTTTGACCGAGTATGGCATGGTGTCCTGTTATGCAAGCTACATGCTTTGGCCATAGCGCGCGGCCTTCAAGAAGTACTCAAGTCGTACCTAACCGAAGGGTCTTCAACGTGCGAGTAGGGGCTGCACTGCAGTCGCCTCGCTATCTTGCAACGGGAGTCCCGCAAAGCTCTCTTCTATTACCGCTGCTTTTCGCGCTCTATACGAGAGGCGTTTCTTTACAGTTCACCCTCTACACCAGACGCTATTTACACCGATGATACGAGGATTTATTCCTCTCTATTTCAGCCGTTTTACTAGGTCAGCACTTAAAATTTTTTTCCCGATGCGCTTGCAAGCTGGTGTCATCAATGGGACCTCTCCATTAACGCTGCAAAGAGCGAGGCGCTTTTTATAACAAAGAAACGCCATACGTCGCTGACTCCGTTAACTTTTAGCGGCATTAAAATTTCGTGGCGCCTTCAGGAAATTATCAGGTTATTATAGATCATAAGTTATAGTAGCGGCCACACGTAAATTACGTAGCGGCGAAGGTCAAGGCAGTGACCCCCATGCTAAATCTTTTATGCAACATAAGTAAACTTTCGTTGCGCAATAAGCGAAGGCTTATGCGCTGTGCATTTAGCCGATTATGATATATGCATCTCCAGCTGGGCCTTCGACTTATCGGCAATAACGTTCTCGCTTCAAGTGCGAAAAAACGATCTGTTGCTCTTTATAACAAACGTGTCGTGGCTTGTGCGCCACGAACTACAGCTTGAGCTGCTGTTCACAATCTTTAAAAGTGATGCCGTCACCCTCTACAGACGGATAGTTGGACACACTATTCGCCTTTTAGCGGAAGAACTTACTACATGTTGTGGGATGGCGCACAATATCACCTTCCGCGCGAGGTACTATTAGCAGGACGATTAAAAGTTAAGTCGCTGAACAAAAGTTTTTCTATGTGCTATTAGAGGATCAAGTAAGTTTTAAATAAAGTCTAAAAAAAAGGCTAAGAAAATGTTAAGGGTTAAATACTGTCACGATAGATAACCATTTACTTTATCCCTAAAGCCCTGTGCCAGCCGTTAGCAGATCGAATTCTTATTACCCTCATATTGAACCGCATACATACTGGTACATCGGGCTGTTTCTTATTTTTATTGAATTTTACACAATGTCCAAACCTTCTTACATTAAAACTTTTAAAGGTGGATTTTCCTTTGAAAATTGTGCAAGGTTTCCTAGTGCCTTTTTCAACTTCAGCTTTTTACTAATTTAAAAATTTATATAAAGAAATCAACTTCTATATTCTAAAGGCTTTGAGGCACCTCCCGCCAGGAAGACTGGTACCACTATATGTGGATTGATTTTTAAGGTATTGATTTGGGCATTTTTAAGTTATTCATATTTCTTTTCTGTATTTTAATTAAATTAATATGTTCTACTGGTACGTTTTACTTAACAAATTAAAAACTATTTGTTCACCATTTTTTACATACCTTAAACCTCTTTTTTAACTAAAGTTCACTGTAAATTATAAACTTATAAGTAGTATTTTCGACTTTTTTTTAAATCTATATTATGTTTACCAGTTTACTTGCATTTTAATAGTAATGTTAAATAAACTTTCCAGGTTAAGAGTAGATATCTTTGTAGTTTCTGCTTTTATAATTACCAACAACTTAGTCATTTGTATAATTTAGGAAGGGGTAGTACTTGGAGCTGATACACGGGCAACCGACGATACCACTGTTGCTGACAAAAATTGCGAGAAAATACATTATCTTGCTCCTAACATTTACTGCTGCGGGGCGGGAACTGCGGCAGACACTGAGGTTTGTATTTTTTTGCACCTAATCTTTTTTTCATAATTATTATTATTATTATGAAAGAATGTAACTTTAACGGTTTCTGCACAACTAAACTTGCACCGGTTATCCTCTAATCGTGAATCCAGAGGCGTTACCGCTTGTCGCCTATTAAAGCAGATGCTCTTTCGGTTAACTTTTTTTTCTTGCACTCCATTACTTTGCGGAATTTATTATTATTATTTTTTGCCTCGCAGTTATCAAGGCTATCTTAGCGCTGCTCTTGTCTTGGGGGGCGTGGACTTGAATGGCCCTTTTATTTACAGCATTTACCCACACGGAAGCTCTGACAAGCTTCCCTACGCAACGATGGTTATTATGTGTTTTTTATGTATGTCATAAGCCGTAGAACTTTTTTTCTATCGCTTATCAGCTTTTTTTATGTGAACATATCAATTTTTACTAAAAAGGCGATCTTATTAAACAGGGCTCCGGATCGTTGGCGGCCATGGCGGTTTTCGAGTCCGGATATAGGCCAAATTTGGAGGTTTTTTATATATTTCATATATTTTTCCTGCGACTTAAGGTTAGTGCATGATTTCACTTTGTTTCAAGCTCGAAGAGGCAAAGGCCCTCGTCTCAACTGCCATCAAAAGCGGAATTTTTAATGATTTGGGTTCGGGCAGTAACGTTGATCTCTGCGTTATCACTCGAGACGGCGTGAGCTACCTGAGAAACGTCGAAAAACCCGTTTGTAAACCTCCTAGGGGCAAGTCCTACCGTTATCCACTCGGCATCACGCGTATGTTTTGCTATTTATGTTTCTGTTGAACACCAGGCTCATATTCTAAACTTTTACGTAATTTTAAGCCGTTCTTTCCTCATGTGTCCTGCAACTGAGTGACGTTGATATTGAAACAGAAGTTACCTCAATGGAAATAGATTAGAATTTAATTTCGGTTTGAGCTAAAGGCCGGAATTTATATAAAAACTAATATTCCCCCTTTTTATTCATTTATTTATCCTATGAAGTTACAAAAGTTTCCTGAGCTGTTGCCCGCTATGCCAAAGCGGGCCGCTACCACAAAGATATTATGATTTCATGAACTGAAAGTATTTCGAAGTAATAGTTTTATTTTTATTGAAAGGCTATCGTCGTGAACCCAAACTACCGAGTCAAGCCGGAATTTCATGATCCACAATACTTTTCTTTTAAGCTATTTCCAGTCAGGCACGCTGTTACTCTGCATCGCGCTTTCCTTTTCTCTGTTCAATAAGAAGCGCTCTCCTACGAGTTGTTGCTTCTGCGCAGCGAGCTCAAAAAACGTGGTAACATCAATACAAGGAAAGAAAAATGCTAAGCAACTTTACTTTAACAAGTTCTCCCTCCATTACAGACTCCAGCTTGTCTATAAGGCTCAGCTTTAGAATCAATTTCTTCAGTTGCACGTGTACGAGTTGAGTTATAGCCCGTTGCAAACTTTCGTATTCTCTTTCTTCGATCATCTAAAAAGCAAAGTGGTTCAAAAAAAAAAGAAAGGAAGGAGTAGATGATTTCAGCAACCTGCGCTTTAACGGCCACTGCGCCAAGACAGGAGGCAGCCAAGCGTTCGTACGACCGTTTTTTCTCGTCCAGTCCCGCGGATCCTGCTGCTATTAAAAATGATTCTACTGAATTTGTTGGGTAGTCACGAAAGAAACATGCCCTCTGTAGTGGCGCAACTTGCACTCTCCTGAAGTGAGGCCTCGTCCCCTTTCTTTTCGCTATAGAGTTCAAGAGTTTCTTTTATGGCAGCCTCAACGATGGCAGGATCCGCCTAAAGGCAGCAACTAACTCTAAGCAAATAACTTTTTTCCTCCGAGCCCCTTTTTTTTTTACCAGCGATGCTAATTGAGAGATTATGGAAGATATGGCGTTGTCACCCTGCCAAGCTTTCGGGAAATAAGTCAGAAAGCCTGCACCAAAAAAGGCATCACGTCTGCGTGTTGTAGTTGCACTACGTTATTAACATCACCGTTTCTCTGCTTTTCCTCTTCGAAGCTCTCTTGTATTGGTAGACGAATAAAATAAGAAATGCACTCGTCCCGGTTGCGAGTGTCCACGTGGTCGGCCACTTTGTTCCAGTCGTCTCCGAACATTTCGATGCCCTCGCAATTGTTTTTGTCAAAAACAAGGCATAGCGCTTCAGAATGAGTGGCTTACTTCTAACAGTCTTAGGACTTCGCTGTCGCTCCAGTCAGAGGCTCTTTCCTCGAGGGCCAGAGGCCGGAAGTCCTGATTGGCGAAGTCGCCTACAGGAGGAGAAAAGGCGTTCTCATCGCTCGGCTGGTGCTTTTAATAAAGGGCTAATGCCTGATTCATGACAAGTCCGGCAAACATCTACAGCTAAATTTTGACTTCGAAACATTTCCCTTACAGAGAAACTTCTCTCACAAAATTTACACTAAATTAAGTTATTACAGTATATAAAATATAAATCTAAATAAACAGACTCCAAAACTTACCCGTAAGATAGTCTCCGTATTGTATATATCAAGTCGAGCGCGCAATAAATCCTTAATGAACTTTGGTTTAGCCCTAGAGGCCACCTTTTCCTGCCTATAGCTTATCTATGGGCGCTTCGATGTTAATGACGAAATAATCATTGAATAAATTACACACGTCGTCTACAGCAGGCCCCGTTAATTTGTTGAGGCCCCTCGGTGTGTCGGCACTAACAGCAAAGTGGGAGGTGCAGGGGGGGCCCACCACGGCAGGCCGGGAATCCTCACTTACGCGGTTGTTGATAATCTCCCACCTCTCCAGAAAGCTGTGAACCCTTAATAGACAAAAAGATCAGCTACGTGTAGAGCGTTTCTATAAGGAAATATTACCTCAATATTGAACATACATCGCCTGCGAGACAACGTCTGCAAGAGGTGGGCGTCAAGTAGTTTTGTGGACTGAGGCGGTAGGCATTGATAATAAAGTTGCGATAGGTCTGATAACTTTATTAAAAAATCATAATTATATAGTAAATTATAACTAAACAATAAGAAATAAAAATAAAGTTGAGGATAAAAAGCTTATACAGAATTTAAATACATTTCGGGAGTTTTTGACTCGGAAAGGCCGTTGAAAAATTCGGGTAGAGACTCCATTTCAATGTTATGAATTTTAGTAGGGTCAAACCAAGCGCAAGAACTAGGCAGATCAAGTAGCTGTTTAACAAAATTAAAATTTTAAACTAAACCTCAAGGAAATCTATTGTAATAAAAAACCTCTGTAAGTAAACTGTTATTAACTAGGCTTTCAGTTTCCCCTTGCATATTTGCTACAGATATATGTTTATCTCAATTTCCTATATAATTTAAAGTACCAAATTAAGCCTTGTATAATATTTTTTTTAAAAAATAATTGAAAACTTTGTCTTATAGGTTTCTTACTGTTTAAAAGGTCTGAGCATGAAGGCATGCCTAAGAGATCAGTTAAATCTAATTTTATATTAAATTTAGATTCACTTTAAGTAGTAACTAAATTTCACTTAAAAAACCGAAGACTAACTTCTTTTTTGGATAAAATAATATACAGACTACAGCCGTAATATCCTAAAAACCTGAATAAAGCATAGCAAGAGAGTTGATGGACGAAGACCTCGTAGAGGATTAAGGAAACTGGGAATTGAAAAAAAGTCTGCTAAACGTGCTATTTATGTGGTATTTTCTATAGAACAGGCAGTGTAATTTTTATGTTTTTATAAGGAAAAAATCTTTAATTGTAGGTAACAAGAAATTTACAAAAATACTAATTTATCTGTAACAAATACTAAATTTTTTGGCCTTGAATTTAGTAAACGTCTCAGTCACCTATATCATCAGATTTCTACTGGTCCCTATTTTATATTATTAGTAGGTAACTATTTCTACAGATTCATATATAGTACCACTATTTCAGATTCTCGTCTCAATTAGCATAATAGTGGTTAGTAGTGGAGAGTTAATAATTTTCATACGGACTAAAAATAAAGTTACGCTAATCACAAGCCAGTAACCCAGGACGAGTTAAAGCTTATCCTATACAATTCGCTGATGCACTCGCACCTTAACCGTTTTTCCAATTTAGGTTTATTTATTTCATTTAATGGTTTTTCCTAATGCCCTTTCAAATAATAATTTTGAAATTTGAGCTTTCAAACAGGTTAGTAAGGTAAAGATAGAGTAGCAAGATATTATCATTCCACACAATACTCTCCACTTATAACCCCTTTATTTCCTGTATGTTTTAAATAAGAAACTCAATATTTTAATTGAAAAACATTAATTTGACCTTTAAGATTTATAAGTTAAATTTTTTCATTATAAAAATAACGTATCTTTTAAAGGTGCAAAAAGCATTTAAATTAAATTAAAAACATTATTAGTTAATATTTTATGTAGATTTTACTCTATTGTAAACAAGCCTCTTAGAGAGAAAGTTTAAAATACTCTGTTAATTACTTTGTATGACGTCCCTTTTTCTTTCAAAACTTTGCTTATGTTATGTCTTATATTTTGTTATTATTTAGAATGGGCGGTATAAAATTAATTTTAAGAACATAGTTTCTTCACAGGCTCGTGTTATATACAATACGTATGAAGTATAAACAGTATGTAAATTGTAACTTTTAAAATGAAAACTTTGCCCTAAAATGGATTTGAATAAGTAAACTTATTAAAAGTAATCTTGGTTCAATAAATTATTTTTTCACTTACGCATCTTAAATAGTAAAGTAAAAATGGTAGTATACCACTTTCTAACAGTTTGTAACCGAAAAGTATTGCTCTGCGCAGGTTATTTTCATCTTTTATAGCTTTATGAAGAACCATAATTCTTGAGCCAACGGATTTAAATAACATCGTTACTTATAATTATTTTAAAATAATAAATGTGTGTAAAGTCTTTTTAAAGAACACCAGCCTAAATATATATATTATACCCATGAAATTCCCTTGAACTCACCCGCAAATATTTTTTAAATTTTTTAATTTGAGTCCGCAACTTCAAAAAATTAATATTACGCTTCTATTACCTAATCTTTACCCTTAAACGAAAGAAATAGACATTTGTTATTTAAAAGAAGAAATAGTGGAAATTTTAACTCTTTTTCCATATACGATTGGAGTTTATTTTGTGTCTTAAGGAAGTGTGCCGCACTGGAGAAGTTAAGCCATCCACGTGTTATTTTCTTCTTTAGCCTCGTAAGATTTACTAAAACGGAAAAACCTCGGTATAAAGTAAATTGCAGGCCCACATTGCGTCTTTTAAAAATTTTTATAGACCCCCCTGTAACTTTATTTATAAAGGTAATAAGAGAAATTATATTAGACACTTAAAGGGAACTTAACTTCGAATATAACGTATGAAACCTAACCAGCGGTAAAGGTTTCAGTATATAAATTAGCATAAGCTAAGGATAAGAAGCATAAAAAATCAACTTAACAAAAAGGCTAAATTTTTAATTTATTAAAACCTAGGTCGATCAAAATAATCAGGAAGTTCCTTCTTATATCTAGAAGGTTTTGGCTTTTTGGCTTCTTTTAACTTGTGTCGAATAAGATTTCCAATGTACTTCTTTTGACCACGGGTCAGTGGCTTCTCTTTTTCATGCTGGCCATACTTAGAAACGTGATCGGCCCATAACTTATTAAAAGTAGTTAAAACTTTGTTAAAACGTTCATCGGGGAGCTCGGAGGAGAGCTCATTAGTATCTCTATAATTTTTGTACTCATTAAAAAGGTTAACTGCGTCGTCCCAACTCTCATTTCTTATCAAAGAAGTAATAGCCTCTTGATAAAAACTAGTATTTTTAATAAGTTTCTGGTTTTTAGAAACGTCAAAACAATAATCCATAATCTGTTTAACGTCGCAAACTTTAAATATAATGCTATAAGTTTCGATATCAACTTCAAGCGTATCTCTCATTGCCTCAAATAAGTTAACAACAGCCTTCTTTGAAAATTTTGGATTACTATCCTCAAGTAAGCAGTGATCCACAAAAGCCGATAAGAGGGCATTATGAACCTGAATAGGCCTTTGAACTTTTAGTTCTTCAAGCAATGAAAATAAAGTTTCGGCTTGTTTCAGTCTACCCATCTTACCCAAAGTTTTAATTGCCGCTGAATAAGGAATGTACAATAACCTAGCTTTCTCTTCATAGTTTGCATCTCGAGAACAACCGCTTTCTTGGGATTTTGATAAAAGTTCTTCGCCGAGCCTACCTGCTTGAAGTCTAATCGTATTTGTCTCGGACGACAAAAACTCCAAACACTTTTCTAAACGACCCAGTTCTCCCTTAACCGTATCAAAAGCAAGCGAAAGTAGTTCATAAAAGGAGCTGACAACGAAACCAGTATTGAGTTCTGCATAATTCATTGTTTCTAAAAATAAACTCCAACTCTTATCCAGGTCGCCAACTTGGTTATATTTTTTAATTATAAGGCTGTACAACTTAACTATATCCATGTTAGCATTAGTACGATCGTTTTTAGCATAATTAAAAACAACTTCCGCCTTGTCAAGATCTGTACCGCAAGCGTCTAAAGATAAGCAATACGTCAACGTGGACAAGCTATTATAGTTTCCGATCTTTGTAATAAATTCAAATAACCAAAGTACAGCTTTGGGTTCTTTGTAACGATATGTTTTAAATATTTCGTTGTAGTCTTCAAGTGACTTAACATGTCCATGTAGAGCTGCACGTAAATGCCTTTTCATTTCAGGGTCAGTGGCCTCTGGAGGAACAGGAAAAACATTTTTTTGTTCTATAAGCCTGTTTCTAACCTCCTTCATCTAAATTTTAAAGAATAAATATCAATTAAATAGAGATTAAGAGGACAATCAGAAATAAACATTACGAGAATAAGTTATTTATATACTTAATAAGTTATAATAAAATTGTAGATATATATATATAATTCCTTTTCATTAAGTGCAGCAAGATATTCTGGTTCTGGAGGTGAAATTGGAAAGCGTTTCCTAACTCCCTTGAAAATGGGGGGCATAAGCCAGACCTTTAAGCCTCTATATAAAGAATTCGTTCTAGGAACATTATTAAAAACAATTAATAATATTTTATTAAACAGCATTTGTACTCTAACGCAATTATTATCACGTTATACTTCAATATCAGCAGCCATAGCCATGATGGTTCAAACAAGAAGTCTCACGATATTCCGTAGACAAGAATGGACCACCGAGTTCACATGGGCCTTGCCCTAATAGTAACTTCCTCTACCCTGCAATATTTCTTTACTCTAGTTTTTGTTACTTTCTTTGTATAATTTGAAAACTATTTATATGAAAAATGGCTAGAAATCAGGAAAAGGCCATGTAAGATAGATTGAATAACTTCTGTTTTATTCAATTAAAGATTTTTTTTTTTATTTGCATTTCTTTAGGTCAATGCTGTCGCGTTGGCGTGCAGCCCGTGAAGCCGAATTTAGGGGTTCTTTACCTACTAAAAGGCCTTGTTCAGCTAATGATATTAATGATCTCAACGAATGTGAAAGATGGAGGAACGAGTTAGTTAAAGAAATAACTAAAAAAATTTCTCATATACAAAATGGTAGTCCTTACCCTTTTTTTTATCGCTAGCTATATTATTTTTAAATAATTACAATTTGCTAAAGCATCGCTGGGTGAATTTAAAATTAGGGACTTAAATGATGAGATTAATAAACTTATCCGGGAAAAAAGACACTGGGAATATAGGATAAGAGAACTAGGCGGACCTGATTACTTTGTAAGCCTTATTCTATAGTTGGTTCTGTTGTAAAGTTTTTATAGATTTTATTTATATTCTATAGAAAATAGGAAGTAAAGTACTTGATCGAGAAGGAAAAGAAGTAGCTGGACAAAAGGGTTACAGGTTTGTTTCTTTGTTAAAAGTATAAATTTTTCTAGTGAATGTAATTTTTTATATATTGTACCATTGATGTACGATTTACAGATATTTTGGGGCGGCCAGAGATTTGCCTGGCGTCAGAGAGCTATTTGAGCCTGAGCAACCGAAAGTTTATAGACGAACACGAGCACAAATGATGAAGCTCGTGAACGCGGATTATTATGGCTACAGAGACGAGGAAGACGGCGTGATACTTGAGTTGGAGAAAAAAGCAGAAGAGGAAGGTATAAGTGTTTGCAGGGTTTTTTTAAGATAACGCGATTTATCATCGCTCAGCGATCCAGCGAGCAGTTAAGGAATGGGAGGAAGAAATTTCACACGGCTTTATTGGTGAAGACAGTGAAGCAAGTGGCCTACACAGCGACACCGAGCCGCTTGTGAGGAGCGAAATGATCCCGTAAGATTTTATTTTTGAGAGGAATGAAGCAAGCTCTCATTTTTCTATTTATTAGAGTTGATGAAGAAAACCGTCTTTCGGAGCACAACGAGTTTGTCGGGTTTGTGTCTGTCCCTTCTCAAGACGAAATCGAAAAATATTTGGTTGAGCATCAGAAAAAAGTAAGTTACGTTGAGTTATCCTTGAAGGTTTTTATAAATTCTATTATTATTACCGCAGATGTTGCTTAAACGATATGTTAATGAGGAGCCTTACGACTTTGAAATGGATGCCAGTAGTATTAGCAATAATAATAATACTTAAGATTTGGGGTTTAGTTGAAAATTTTATTTCGATAATTACGGGTGAGTTATAATAAAAAACGGCATTATCTCTTAATTGAGGATTTTCTAAGAAGCCCATTCATTTAATACACGCTCCAGATGACTCTCGCCCGCTCTTATACTACTGATACTGTGCGTCAAGTATTGGACGTAGCGCAGAATCAAGTCTTTTGTCTGGAAGGAATTCTGATTTGGAGATGTCTTACAGGAAATAAGCTGTGGTGCCCGTACCATGTATCTCTCCGGGCACGCTCGTTTGTCCTTGATCTGCCCATGCACTCTTTGCAGCTGGCCGGAGATGGCGGTCAGCTCGCGGGGGCAGAAATTTTCCGGAAGTATTACCCTCGTCACAAGAAAAACTGGTATCGAAGGGGAGCAGAAAAGTACACGTTCACTCTTTTTAGAACTTTACGGGTTCAAGAGTACTTTTGCAGTAGAGCTCCGTGTACGAAGTGGTTGTTTCTGCGTTGAGACTCTGCAAAAGTTTTTCGACATCCATGCCTGTGAGATTCTTGTAGTTGTTCTTTTAGAGATAATAGTCACATAAAAAAAAAAGGAGAAGCGTAGTCCATATAGCAGCGGCCTTTACCGAAACTTCGAGAGCTTTCGATGCAGTAAAATAGTAAAGACTCATAACTGCTCGGTTACTCCTGCGTCGGTTTTATTAATAAGCTCAATAAAGTTAAAAGTAAATAATAATAAATAGATAATTAAAGTTATAAAATAATTAAAAAAAAGTAATAAATAATGTTATAATAAATCTTAAAATAACAAAATAATATAATAATAAAATAAGAAATAGTGAAGTTAATAAAAAATTCGAAATAAAAAAATAATAAATATTTATAAATAGTACAAGTAGATAATAATTTTTTAATAAAACAATGAAAAAGGAATTGACAATAAAAAGTTTATATAAATATTTATAGAATAATATTTAAAAGGCCACGAAACCTTGCTAGACGGCTGACGGGCGATAGGAAGTCGGTAAGGTAAAGCCAATTCCCGACGTACGCGATTTTTTTTTTTAAGACTGAACAAATCTATGTAGAAGCGGGTTTACAAAATTTTTGGGTATGTCGTCGAACCGAGAGCTACCTGCACCCACGTGGCACTTTCTATATGGGAAACCAGCGCCATAACACAGTCCTGGAATTCGACCTTTAGGCACGGAAGGCGGTAGTCAAGGCTGGCCCATAATAGCCGGGGCAGCGCTGCTGCCACGTACTCCGTGCAGAGCCTGACTTTTAATGCACCAATAAGTTGGAAGGATAAAGGAAACGATCGTACCAGTCTCCAGGCACCAGCGAGTGTAGTTTTAAAAAATACTTGAGAGATCTTACAAACGGGTTGTGCTCAGTATATATCGCTGCAGCCAAAAAAGTCGAGAAGAATAAAATAAATTAGAGAGGTTTACTTCGAATTAGTACGTTTGGGAGAAACTTTGGTGTCTGCCAGAGATGGGGCGTTACCGTCTAAGGTAAGAAGTAGTTATGATGGTGGTACAGATATAAGTATTGCCAGGACCCCAATCGAGCCCCAATTTAAATAAAAGATCTTTTAATTTCTCGGTTGACAGAGCGACAGAAGAATTTGGTTTAGCCTTTATAAAATTTCTTTGAAAGAAGCTGTGAGTAGAGAAAAAAACTAAATTAAAAAACCTTTTTAGAAAGATTTTTCAAAGTAGATTCAAAGAGAATAAAAGTTTCTGGCGTGCAATGCCAACAGGCTTTTTTAAGAGGTAGAGGATATAAGCAAATTTCAATGTTCTAAAATAATATAAAAACCCCACGAAAGAAGCCACTGCCAAAAGTCGCAGGCAAGGTCTTCTTGCTCTCTAATAAGATGCAAAATGGTGCCAGATTCAAGTAAAGCAATCACAGAAGAATTTTCTATATAAGTAGTAATAAAAAATTTAAAAAAATAATTGATCTAAAGACGGACCTAAAAGGCAAAGAATTAATCGTTTTACCAGAAAATAGATCCCTCGAAAATAACTTTTCAATTTTTGGTCGCTGCTGAGAAAGATTGGTTTCTTTGCAATTGAAAATAGTGCAAAAGTGGGCCAAGGACTTGAACATAGCGAAGGAGAGGTATTAGTAGGTAAATAACTCTAAAAAAATAATAATACAAAGATGGAGAATTCTGGGGGTGTCTCGCCATCACTGCTTTCCTCTTCTGAATCGGAAAGATTTAAAGGATGCGCGTCAATACCTCCATTATCAAAAAAAATCTAAGGTTTCCAATATTTTTTGATTGAAGCTCTTTCACAAGCATTATATGGCTTACTCGCATCTCCTTGCTTTTGTTGCACAACTCTATGCTTTTATTTATGTTATGATAATCTTTTTCGTACTTCCTTTTGATGACAGAAGCGGTTGCCAATGCGGCTGAAAGAGTATTCTGGCTTTAATAAAAAACAAATAATAAATTTTTTAATCCACAAAGACAATAAGGTTTACGCTAAAAAACCTTTGATTCAAAATATAAGAAAATTTTGCTTCTTTGAGATCGAGGCTATTAGTCGTTACCCGCTTTCGCAGTCTATTTTTTATATCATAAAATAAGTCTGTTTCTATGATGTCATCTTCTTCCTCAGATGCTTGCATCGTGGCGACCGAAAAAATAAACCTTTCCGTGGTGTACGTGCAATGTAACTATTTTTTTATAATTTACCTTATATAATTTTACTAGTATATGAAGCTAAAAAACAATAAATTGTTCGATGTGGAGGATAGTTACGTTGGTGTTATGGACGAGTATAAAATAGTTTTTAATAAAGTATAAAGAGTTAAAGACAACTGTAGAAATTTGTTTATGACTTACAAATATTAATACTAATAGTGTACAGTTATAAGATTATTCGAACAACTAGCTAAGATCTAAGTAGTAAGTATTTTTTAATAAATATATACATACAACTTAACTAAGACAATATTTAAAAAGCTAAATTGATAAAATTTCTATTGTGTAAAAAAAAGAGTATAGCAATACTTAAGTTGTAATTATTCCAAGAGTGTAAACGATTGAAAAAAGGAAAACTATAGTTTGTGAAACCATAAAAGTTAGTTGACCTCAAGGTTCAAAAAATGTATACTTGAAAACTTTTTGAACGCGAATCTTTTCTTTATCAGCCTTTTTGCTAAGTTAATAAAAATTTACAAAGAAATAATATGGCAAGCCAGGAAGAAAAGAAGTAATCTTTCTTAAGTCAAAATAATGTTTAAAAACTTATTTAATCGATGAAGCTTCAGAAAATATAACATTAAAAAGTTTCTAAGCTGTTTTCCAGGCAGCTCTAGTGGGGGGTTTTGTATGTTTTAAAATGCCTTGGATCTAAGGCAAACGCTAAATATAGCCTAGAAACTATTGGAAAGTAGAACAAAATCTACTAGATCCCAGCGAGGTCCTACAAAATATTTGAGTACGGATTTTTTTTAAGGCACTAGCATACTGCGGTCATTTCTCGTAAGAGACCTTAAGCCGTTAATCTGAATTCCCCTCTTATGCAGGAAATGGGCTACGGGTGCCCACCAGTGTATAGCCTCTTTATAACAGCTTTCTTGACTGTCCCGAAGGACTAAAAAAACGTGATATATTGGGGCCTGACTCTCGCCGTTCTGTCTAGTGTGGTAGAAACCTCTAAAAGCCACCACAAGGAGAGGCAGCCTTAGGCGCAAGACCCGAGGCCGCCTTAATCACCGCCCACACCACTGCTAGCCAGACCTCCCAGATTATGAGCTCCTCTCCTAGAAGGGCCGTAGTAGGTCAGGTGGTTGACAACAAATATATTATATAGCCGCCGTAAAAGGCGACTTGCGTATGAGGTTTAATTGGCAGAGGTACGGCTCTATAGAGCGCAAATAGTAGTAGCGCTAATAGGGTCTTTCGGGTCCCCTGCTGCAAGGAGGCGAGGTGGCGACAGTGCGGTGTTTCACACGGACCAAGCTGTTTAGGTCCGGCATGAGCACATCTTAAAGGTCTAGCGGGTTTGCTAGCGCTAATGGCTTATATAAAACTTAAGGGTCGGGTCGCCCACTTTGTCAGGCGCAGTTGTTGGGCCGTTGAGTGTCCAAACTGAAACTCTTATTACATTATTTTCTTCAGTCACCTAGCCTATTGCCGACAAAAAGGAAATGGTCGGTATTTACGAGGATCAGTTGCCAGTTGCAATGCGTCTTAGGTAACGTCATGACTTCCGCCACTTTCATGGCAAGAGCTAATGTCGAAGGACATCAATTCACGAGGTAACAAGTTTGAACCTTGAGAGCCTTCAGTATTTATTCTAACATCGACTTAGTGATACCGCTGGAACTGGGCGCCTTTCGTCTTGGTAGCGTAGACCGCTCTAGCTACATAACTCCACGTGTCGTCGTTGCGTTGAAGTGAGCTTCTCTCTCGCAAGCACAAAGTACGGCAACAGCGTTGTTCGGTAAAGCGAGAGTTTTCAGTAGTCGAAAAGGCGAGAGTATCTTAAGCATTTTGAGAAATTTGCTTCTATCGTCTAAGACCGAGCTAATGGTTTTGATGCCTTTTTTTCCACCCAATTTGAGCAGGATAATCAAGTGATCCGATGACAGTTCCTCCATTACCTTAATAGCCGTTGAAATTGATGTACCTTTTTAAGGCGGTAATATCTGGCTAAACCATTGTGCTCGATTCCCTCGCCTTGTCTCTAAAGCTGTGGTCCTGTGAGAGTTTTATACCGCATTCTTCACGTAGGTCTCAAAAGGAGCCGTTTTATTTGCGAGCTTGCAATTAAAATAACCGCACAAATTGGCTGAAGAGGCATGGATTAAAAAGCGTCCTTAGCAAACAGGGTGAGAGGTATGCCGGGAGGCTTATAAATTACAGTCACAGTCATTGCTTCTTGTTAGGCCAAGTGGAGGGTAGCACCAACTGCTTTAACGCCCTACAGGGCCGTCAGTGCTATCATAAAGTTGGGTGCCTCATTTAACCGGGAGAGCGACGCCCCCGCCACTAGTATAAAGAAAGTCCTGGTAATCCTTCGCCAAGTTAAATGGAGTGATTAGGGAGCGCAGCGTTTACCATTTGCTTGTTCTTTTGTGTTGCATTACCTCTTAACCTCATGTTTTTTATACTAAACTATCTCTGCATCATGTGGAAACACTTCTTAGTAACTAAAACCTATACAAAACGAAATTTAAGCCCTTTGTTTTTTACTATGGCGGGGAGATTCGTCGAAAGAGTATCTAACAGTTACCGCAATGTCGATTACGACCTTATTTTTGCATCTCTTACTATCGCTGAGTAACTGACTTGTCATTACAGGTGATATTTGTAGTGACAACGCTCTCAGGCTAAAAGTTTAAATTTAAAATGGGTATCGGTAATAGACTAAAAGTTACCAAAATTTTGAAATAATATGTAATTAAGAATCCACCGACACAAACCAAAAATTAAGTTAACCCTAATTATTTGTTTCATTCTTTCATTCTGTTAATCGGTGTCGTGGTCAAAGGCTTTTACGGAGTGCCGCAGTAGCACCCATGTTGGCCTCGCCACAATATTAGTAGGCGTTTCTCGAGCTTTCTATCTACCGGTAAGAGTACATATCCCGATATATGTTCATTCACTTGTGGAACTTTTACTCTATCCTTGTTTAATCTACTTAATTTTACTTTATTTTTTACCGAACAGTACTTTTATTACAATAACTTAAAGAGGCTTGAGTCGAAAACTACAAGAAGGAGCAAATAAAGGCCTTCCTTCTGTCAAATCAAGCAGGCCTTACTGGTCTGTAACATAAGTTAATAAATTTTTTTTAGCACTTTTCTTTAAGTAATTATTGTGCTTTTATATTAAAATATTTAAAGGCAGAAACCACAAAAAAATAATAACAGTTGATTTACTTAGCATATACTTTTGGCGAGAATATAGTAAAGTAAGACATCACTTTTACCTTTTTATGTAAATAAAAATGTGGAATACTTATTTCTGCTCTACCCCAATTTTCCGTTATTAATTTGAAGTGTACACTAAGTAATACCCAAAAACAAACTTTTTTTTTTTAAATCCGGCGTCCCATATGAATCTATAAAATTTTATTCTGTAATTACGCTTTAAATAGCATTATACTACTTCTACTTTTTTTATTAATTCAAAATTTTTTTATTGAACTTTTTACTTGTAAGTCTTTGTATCCACCAACGCTTACTCTTACTTATTAACTGCTTTATTTGGGCACAAAATTATTTACTTCTGTACTCCACTATTCTTTACTGCAATTTAAATTTATATAAAAAAATTAATAACAATAAAATGATATGAATAAATAGTACTATTTGGGCGTAAAGCCTCACACGGGCTATAACCAAAATCGAAGCGAAGTTTTTAGCTACTTTTAGAAAACTTTTTCAGCAGAACGGTTATACTTTTTCTTGGGAGGGGAAAGAGGTGTTAAAGGTATAAGTGAGAAAACCGGAAAAAAATTCATTTGTCCGACTTAAAATTTTTAATTACCCCTTTTTTTATATTCGTAAACACTGTGTACTTAGGTTACTTCTATATAACCGAACAAAAAACTATCGGAATCTCTATTATTATGTAAGCCTGATACTTTTGCTTAGTGTAACTCTCTGCAAATTTTTCAAGTTATAAAGCGTTGTACTCCTAAGTTGATTGATCTTTTTTTTGAGATTAGTCGCTATCTAATTTTTACAGTAGAAAACTTTACGCCACTTTTATCCTGCAACTATTTTATATGTAATAATTAAAAAAGGAGCATACTATACACTTAAATCTAATTCTCACGTGAAGGCCAAATGAAAAAAAAGAATTATATAAACTCTCTTTAAAAAGATAGGCAATCATAAACCATTGGAGTTTTTTTTTTCTTTAAAAAAAAAGATTTTGGTAATGTACTCGAAAACTACTACACAAAATTTATTAAAATTTGATACCGCTAAGCGGCAAACTTTTTACATACAGGGATACTACTTACCTTTTAAATTGTTTCATCCTTTCTAAAAAAATTTCTTGCAAAAGAGTAGCCTCTTCTTTATAATTCTTTCTCAAGCTCAAGTATACCAATCCTAAAGTCGAGGCATCGCCGAGATGAAAAGAACTATTGAAGTAGAACAGCAGCAGTTCTAGCGGCGGCCGCGAGTCCAGCAGTAAATATTCTCGTAAAATAGTTTGTATTGAAGTTTTTTTGAATTCAAGTCTAAAATAATCAGAGCGACACCACTTGCACAAGTAATTTTTTTTTGGAACATCCATAAGTGCTTACCTAAGCAAGCTATACAACAAAGTATAGTAGCAGTATTTTAAAGCCGTCTCATTGGTTTTAGTGTGCTGTGAATAACTTTTTAGGGCCAATGAAAGGCGTATTATATCCGAATCTTTAGGACCACTTAGAAAGCGATCAGCGAATAAACATACCTTTTTTCAGCGCATATATACAAACCTATTGAGAGTACAATCAAAATATGAGGCCATTATAACGGAAAGGGACGCCAGCGGGAAAAGCAAAAGAGTCTGGACGAACACATGGACACGCTGCTGCCATAGGTGCCATTTATTGAGTTCCTTAAGGAAACTGTTGGAAGGCGGAGACGTGTCCAATGGGGGCCGCTGGGCCAGCAGCTTGCGGAATAAAAGCTAAACCGGTAAAGAGTTACTTCTTCCGTAAGTGGGTAGGCCACGAAAAAGTGACCTGAGCGGAAGCCTCATTAGGGCAGAAGCCACGCGTACGCATCTCTTTTAAAAGGTAGAGAGCGTCTGAGAAGAGGTGTGCTTTTCCATAGCAAAGCAGAAGAAAAGAATATGAAGTGCTGTCTGGTTTTAGCTCTAAAAAAAGGAGTAAAATTTATTATATTAAAAAGAATAGATAATAAATATAATAGTTACCATGCGTGCTAAACCAAGAGAAAGTTTCTATAGCCTTCGATATGGGAGAATGGAGATAGTCGCAGTAAAGCAACCGGTTAACAAGTGCCGTGTCCCAAACGAGCTGTTTTGCGATAGCAACAAAAAATATTTTATAAATAAAAAAAGATCTACTTGGTTCTTTTGGTATATCATAAGAAGCCGATTAGACGTGAGAAAATCAGGAAGCATATTGAGCAAAACTGCCTTGAAAAATAAGACATTGGGATATTATAAAAATATATTAAACATATTAAAAGTTACTTCCACGGGAAGATGGTAGTAGAGAAGAGTTATTTTGATCATAAGTTGTCGCTGCGCCGGAGTGCCCCACTCTAAGACAAGCACAAGGAGTTGAAAAAAGTGTGTTGGAGGGACAAGGGCAGCTAAAATAATAATAATAGTACTAGTAGTAATAATATTAATATTAATAATAAAACCAAAGCGCTCGCTTATTATATGGACTAAATGCACAAGGGCGGAAAGGCTATCGGGCAAGGGCAATTGCCCCTGTGACACCAAATGTTCGATATATACGGCAGCTAACTTTGTTAATTGTTCATTCGGGACATTCTAATTGGTTTAATATAATCATAAGCCAATAAGTTGAATAATATTAACTCAAGCGCTACCTCGAAGTTCGCGCTTATATTAAGCAATGCGTTCACGTGCTCAGAAGTTAAGTTTTTCCAGTTGAAAGTAAGCACTTCTCTTAAACATTCTTCTTGTTCTATAATTGTGGCATAAGTAAAGAAAAAAACAAAGGCTATTTATTGCACAAACGAGTTTTGGAAAGTGTAGTGGTGCCCAAAAGCTCGAGGCCGAGCAGGAAGTTGTCACTAAAACTACAGACTTTCAAGAGGAATAAAAGATGTTCATTGGCCTCTGTACCGAGAAAAAAAATAAATAGTGCTAAGGTGGCCAGGAAGTTTGTACTATAAATAATGAATGGTGCCTGCTAAAAGTGAAGCGGAGCGAAATAGATCGACCAGAACGGCTGAGTCTTGCGGAGAAATCGAATACCGCTGCTTTGTCAAATCTACGAGGACAAGTTTGCTCCATTTGCTGACTTGTTCAGAAAAGAAATTAAATATATGCTGATTGGTGGGGTGGGGCGCTGGAATTTTCTGCCGTAAAACGAGCTCCAACGTCTGAAGATTCTCGCGGAAATATTCAAAGTGGCAGAAGGTTAGGGTGGAGGGGGCGGGCATGTTAGAGGAGAGCGGTTGAGCCTCGGTGCGCTTGACACGTAGGGGCAAGTCCTCTGAAGGAAAAAAGCAGTAGAATCTTTCTGGAGTGAAGGAAAAACGCCAAAAGGCATGCTGAGTGTCGTGTGCACGGTGAAGCGTCTCAATGGTTAAAACGCCTGAAGAAGAGAGGAACAGAATTCAAAATGCACGTGGTAAGAGGGTGGAAGAAACCACGTGCCTCTAGAGGGGGGGTTGTACTCGCGCATGATAGAGGCTGCAGCAAATAAAAAGGGAAGAGTTAGAAGAGGGATAGAGTTGCCTGTCACCAAGGAGCCAACCCTCCGACGACCGATGTAGCTCAGCCATATACACCTGCCAGACTTCCTGAAACGCGGTTAGCAGAACGGAGACCTTAAAAGGGACTTTTCACTATTTTATTTACTAAACAAATATATTGCTAGTTGTACTCCACTACGAAGAAGCCATTTGAGTAATTCATTGGAAAGTTCGCAATTAGCTTCTACGCAGAATATTATGACCGACTTGAAGGTTAACAAATCATAACAAAGAAACCGTGCAGCATCCGCATAAAAAAAAAATCATCATAAGTATGCGAATCAATCTTCCGCAAATAATATTGCAGCACTAAAAAACTGTCCGCTTCTTCGCGGTTGAGCAGCGATATGCAAATCTCTGAATGCCATAATTATGTCAGTAACGCCAAGGCATGACCAGTATATAAAGAAACCATGCAAAAGAGCGGGTCTCCAAAGCTCCCAACCGGAGCACAGCGTCTAGAAAACATGGCCGACTTGAGAATAATAATAAAGGGAGGAAAACGGTGCTAGATTGCCTTAACAAAGTCCATTAGAATGCCGTCGGTGCCTTCCACGCGGCAGAGTCTCCAAAGTTGACAGGATGTGGCAGCGCTTGGACAGAGCGGTCCTTGCAGTGTGGCACCAATGAGCTGCGTTGATTTAAAAAGGGTCCTTAGGGATAATTCCTCCAAGCGGGTCAACACATGACAACGTCGTAAACGAGAGAGTGGCTAGCATACTTGGGGAGGCGTTTCACCTTAAGCAGCAACCCCAGAATATTGCGGTACATTATATGCGGTAGCCGCAAGCCGGGCTCTCCCTGCAGGGCGTTAGTAAGAAGGTGGAGTAATTATAATCGTAATAGTAATTACCGCCACCAACTTAAACAGTATAAGGGGCGTGTATAAATCGCCTGCTTTTTCGCAATTACGCAGCGCGACTTCCAAGCAGGCTTCATACTTTCTCGATATCAGTATACTGGAAAGGTAGCCTGCAGAAAAAATGTTCGTCTCTGTAAGGTCTGCATCCGCTTATGAGAGACCTGATTGGTCGTAGAGGTCGCTCCCACCCCTGTTTATGGACAACATGCGAGCTAAATTATTATAAAGCACGTGGTTTAATTGCTGGTTTGCCAGTCTGGCGAGTTCCTTTACGTGTTCATAAGAAAACTATAGCCAAGTCACTGTCAAGAAAAAAATTCTCTAGTAAATGAATTAACAAACTGACACATCGGGGGCGCTGAAATAGTCGAAAAACGCTTTTAAATGCGCCTGTTTTGGCCTGTTCAAGAGCGAAAGTTTCCCATTTATACCCAAAACTGTAAGGCCCCGTAAAGCACATGAAAAGGTAAAAAAGCAGGAACATATAGAAAGCAGAAAAAACAATGCAAAACACATATATGGTAACTGTGGTAATTTGTGCTTCTCAAGAAGTTTAATGACCCAGGCCGTGTTCTCGGGGGTGCCGCTGTCTAGCGTGGGAAGAGCCACGATAATCAAAGCAATAGAATTAGTAAAGGCGGCTCACCAATGAGATAGTCAATCACTCGTGAAAATACCGAAGGTCTCATCTCGTGTACCCTCTGTTGGGCGCACGAGCTATTACTTACAGGTGAGTATATCATAAAAAAGTACGTCGGGATAGCAGAGAAGAACATCTTCCAGAGTTAAATAGTATTGCGGGCGTGGCGAAACGAGCACAAAATAAAACAGTTTTTGAACCGCAAGTCTTATATAACGAGCATTCTCTACGCGAAAACTTAGCACGTGAAAAAAAGAAAAAAATTATCGAGATAATAAAAAATATACTCAAAGCCTGAACGAAGCTGCAGAACAGCGACAAAGTCATGCAATGATCGGGTTTAAACATTTCGTCCAATAGTTGCTCAAATACAGCATTATTGGACACTTCGCCCAACTGCTTCCGTCCCCACCCCCAATAAACAAATTCATGCAGCCAATGACAGACGTTTAAGAACATATAGTCGACCTTCACTATAAACAGCCAGTCCTTCAGACGCTCCTTCTCAGTGCCGAAGTAGTACTTTACGACCCAACTAAGAGTTTCAGGGGCCAACAGAAGGCGTAAAAGCACCATTTTACTCAGAACCGCGTGCACTTCTTCAGTGTTTTCACGGCTATAGAGATGCGTGAACGGCTGGTCACGAGAGGCAGGAAGGTAGAGTACCTGAGCTGAAGCCGAAGAAAAAGGTTGAAACCGGGTCGGATGCTCATAAAATGCACGACCAACTCTAGTTCTAAAAGCCAAGCAAGCGCGCGGGAGTTCGGGTTCACGCGCAGGTAGTGGTCAATGATTAGCTGACAGTGTTGGGGAAAAAGTAGATTTCTTTCTAAAAGTTCCTAATAGAAAAAATAGGAGATTTCAACTCAACAGCATCCAGTACTTTTCGTAACCTGCAACAGATAGGGAATAACGACCTCCTGATCCACGAAATTTTCGATGAACATGTGATAAACTGTATTATGACCAACCAATCCATAGGAAACAAACTTGGTGTAAAGATTCATAGTTTCCGGAAATTCCGTAAAGTCGCTTAACGAATATTTCATGGCGACACGCTCCAAAAGATCACAACCGAGAGCCTAAGCATAATAAAAGTAGGCCAACATCAGGGAGAGAAGAACACGAAAAAGCAGAAAGAGGCGAACGCCGTTTCTTTGATCCTTGAGATTCTTAAGAAACTGTACAACTTCGTCCAATCCGCTGTCGGATGTAGCCAACGTTTCTACCGCCAACCAAGCAATCCGATCGCTACAGGAAAAATCTACAGAAAAAATGGGGCGCACGTCCACATGTCACGTTTAACAATAAAATAAATCAAAAAAACAAACTGCAACTGCTCATTAAATTCAGTGCGTTGCGTAAACCAGGCAGATCCGTGCTTTGGTGGCAAGCATTTACCCAAACGAAAAAAGTTTCTTCGTCTGGGAGGATCTCTAAAAAGAGAATATTAAGTAAAAAAAAAAATTATATAAAAGCAAAGTCTAAGAAAAACAAAACTTGTTGCCATCATGGTCTTCACCACTTCATAGATCGACGCCGAACTGTTAATAAAATTACCATATAAGATTAAAACAGTAAAGCGCGTAGCAAAACCTGGAAACAAAAAGGCGAATGAAGTTATTATAAAAGCACGTGTTTAAAGGAAGGTCTTTTTCTTTGATCCAGCTGACGATCTGATAATAATTAATGAAAAGAAAATTATATTCACAACAAAAAGACAAAAACATAAAATAGGAAACTTTATTAGCTCCAGGTGAGTCCGAGTTATTGATATAAACGGTAAGCAAGGCATTATATGCGTCGATGTCGAGGGCAAAGCCTTCTTCTTCTAAAGTTTTAAGCATAAGTTCCGCTAAAGCAGCATCTTTTCTAAAAAAAAATTTAATTAGTAAACTGCAAAATTAATAAACATAATTTCACAGTAGACCTGCAAGCACCAATAAGATAGGAAGAAAATACGGAAGGAAGAGTGTCGTATTTCATTTTTAGAAGCTACAAATAATTAGAAATTATTAGAAAAGAAAAAATCTACTAAAAAAAAATCACCCTCATAACGGCAAAAACTTCTTCAAACATTCCTTTAATTTGATATAACTTAAGCAAAATTTCGTAGATGCTCGGACTGCAAGTAAGATCTAAAAATTTATATAAAATTAAAAAAAAGGAGAGAAAATTGAATATAATAAGGAAAAAGCGGTATATATGAATGCAATCAATAATATCAACTTACTTAAGCTCTCAAACACAAGAATACATTTTTTTAAACCTAGATGAAAAAGTTTAGAAGTTATAATTTATTAACTAAAAGTATGCATGAATCTCACCAATCAAGTCTTCGTGTTGTTCATAGATCTTGCAAACTTTAAGCATAAGATTGGATAGATCAAAACTGTCATGCTTCAAAACATAGATAATCACGCGCCAAGGCTCGTAATTCTCATAATCATGAGCAAAACACTAAATACAAATTGCTTGAAGTTTTAAAACTTCTTATAACTTTACAATAATATAAGTAAAAATAACAATAAAAACTATTATAAATTTTAATAAACAAATATATATATAGGAATTAAAAAAGTAACTTAAGTTTAACGTGCACACACCTCAATCAAAATTTCAGCTAAATTTCGGTTAATTGCCATTCCATTATTCCTAATTGCCATAAAATTTTCTTCAGCGCAGTAGGCGATACCCTTTTAAAAAATATAAGTAGGCTGGCTCAACGCTTTAAAGAAAGCTTATAATATATGAATAGCAAACCTTGTTAGAAGAATCTGTGCACCCCTTAAGCAGTTGACTTAAACTGTTCAGGTAGTGTGTAATCGCATTTTCGTTTAGTGATATATCACTTTGATTTGAGCCAGAATAGGATGAAAAAGTAGTATAAAATTTTATTAGGGAAGTTAAAAAATATTTTTTCCTTAAAATGCTAATTAATATAGTATATTTGGAATACAGTCTATTAAACTTTAAAAAAAAGTTAGATTGGGATTTTCGAAACCCACATAAAAGCATAGAATTGGCGTTTAAAAAAAACCGACCCCCAGAGTTTAAAAATTTTATAGGTAACACGTTTAAATTATTATTGTTTTTAGGTAAATTTAAATATATAAATTCGTTAAATTTATTAATAATAAAATTCTTATTCTTAGGGTTAACACGTTTGAGACCGTAGGTATCTTCATTAAATGCACAATTATTATAAATGAATCTACTATAACCAGCAACCAAATGTTTAATCTTAGATGTTCTAATACTAATAGATTTCGACGCTCTAAAGGGCATCTCCGTCGGAATCCTTAGAAGATTTGTATAAGCTTCGTAGGAAATATGTACGTAGAAGGTTAAGAACAACCTTTGCAACTTTGCTCAGGGGCCCGCATGAGCCTTACTTTTAGGTCAGCTCCACTCGTCCCTCAGTCAATGTCTTTCTTAATTTAATGCATAAAACAAAAGTTAATAAAAAATAAAAAGGAAAAGTTCTCTTCTATTTATTTTATCTATATGTAAGTGGGGATTTTCAAACATCAAGTGATATAGTAATTATAACTTAAAATACAGGACAATCGGTGCAAATTTTCGTCCTTTTTCTTATTGTTTATATATGAACTAAAATTTTTAGTACAACTTGTGTTTCGACGTTACTTTTATAAAATACATATCCACCTTGGTCTAGATTTTGCATTCTCTTTTAAAAATTTTATTCTACTAATTCTTTTTGTCTTTGCAAAACAATATTATTTTCTAGTGTGAAACTTTGCTGCCCTAGTGATCCCGGGTTTTTTTAATTATATGTTCTCGCGAACCTAAGTAACAAGTTCTTTTACTTTCGAGGTTGTTTTAGAAAAGCCGATAAATTTTTTTTTTTTAGAAAGTTCTCTTACTTCGTTATTTATGCTAAAATACTTTTACCTTTTTCCTGACAGTGTATTAAAAATCTCTACTTTAACACGTCTTTGAGACAATATTTTATAAGCTTTTAAACTTTTAATTTTTTTATTTTACTAAATATTATAGTAAATTGAGGTCTGTAAGATAACCAATTATTGCACTATTTACTAAGGATTATTCTTAGGAAGTAACTTTAAGGTTATTCGCCTTTAGCTCAACTTGCGTAAATAAAAACAGTTTGCTAAACAAAAACACCTTGTAAGTCGTTAAAAGTAAATCTACCGAGGCATCAAAGTGAGTGTTCAGCAGCTATATCAGTAACTACTGATAGCGAAGGCATACATATAATATTTTGCTCTTCTTTAATTACTTGTATCTTAATTATTTCCTCCCTTGTTTTTACGTCCAGTTAAAAGCAGGTAAATTGACTTGTAACCCAGTCTTTAGGAACTGGGGATAAGAAGGGGAATAAAAGGGTTGAATAAGAATGTAAGCTAAATTTATTTACAAGTTTTGCTCGTGATTTATAACTGCTTAACTAAACGAGAAGGCCTCATACTTGTAGTTAAAGTATTGTGTATAAGTATAGGATCGGCATTAGCTGTGAAGATCGGAAATTTTTGTATTCAGCTGTTTTCGCTTGAGGGGCCGTTTGGAGCCTGTTTCGTTTCTAAAGAGTTACCCGGAACAATTTAATTAAATCCTTAGCTATTACAGAACTTTGTGTTAACTATTATTAATACTATATCTTGAACAAATTTAGCAACACCTTAGCGGAATTTAATTGTGTAATAGCAACTCTATACTTATCTGTAACTTGAAAATACTAATGACTGAGCCAAAGGAATCCGTTAAATTATGATATATTATGTTTTTGTCACATTCTATTGTTTTTGTGAGCTATGCATTTCTAAAAAACCGATATACAACCATGGATTATCTTAGTATGCCCTTTTCCATATATAACATAGCAATTTTGACAAGCACTTATTAAATTAATATTGCAAGGGGAGATAACAAGAATACAATTACTCAGGAAAACATAAATTGTATATAAACAAAAAAAATAAAAAAAGCTTAAAAGGACACAGGAAAAAAGTGCAAATAATAGGAAAGACATTAAAAAAAAATTATGACAATGAAAATATGAACTAGAACGGTAGACAGAAAAATTACTAATCAAAGTGTAATATAAACAACCCAACATAGATTAATTTTCCACCAAACTAATTTTTAGCGCGGGTCCCTATATTTGAGCCTATACATGCTGTAATAAGTTAAAAATTTAAAATTATATATATTTAAGTTTTTTGTCATCGATATTATCATATTTAACAGAGCATATTAACTTGTGCGCAAGCCCTTTAACTATACAGTTCTGCAAAAATAACTTTTTTTTTCGGCTGCTTAAAAAGTATTTGGTAAATCTTATGTTCTCTAGAATGCCGAATCCAAAAATGCTCTTCCCTCCTATCAGTTACGGTTTTTTGCAAAGTAACAAGCGTTTACAATAAAAAATAAAACTGCAGTGAAAAAATTCATTAACTTTATTACGTTGAACTAAACATATTGGTTCTCATAATTTATCAAACAATTCCTACATGACATAAACATTATGTGTTCACTCTTTTTGCCTGTGAAACCTTTCTACTTCTCTTTGCTGCTTCTCCGAAACTCGATTTCGCTTTACGTTTTCCGTATCTGGCTTGATCACCCAATAGTAGTCAGTCAGCATATCCGCAGTGCAGACATCCTGATGAAATATCGTTCACCCTGCTCTTCAGTATACTAAGTATCGGGTAAATAGTCGATATGGGAGTGTAAGAGATGGACTTTTAAGTTCATCTTGCAACCTTGAGCTTCCTATGCAGCCAACATGCGTCGTACATAGGTTTTGTAGAGGTCTTTGTTCCCCAAAATCTTGTGCACTACGTTTTTGAAGGAGTCTCACGCCTTTTTTTCTTTTTTCCCCTTTGCTTCTGAAAGAAGGAATTGATTAACAGTTTTCGTGTGGCGAGACTCGTAAAAATTTCTTCTTTCATCTTGATTTATACAGTTTTGACTACTTGAACGGAAATAAATGAATCATTTTCCATCTTTTGGCAATGATTTTACAAACGCTACGTGAGCTCTAAATTTTTTTAGGTGGAGCCAAGACCGGAGCAATGACGTTTTTTCAAACGCATATTAAGGCATCTCGAGGCGACCAGTCAGTTTTTGTCCAACGGAGGCCTCTGGCACGAGTGTTCGCAATCATAAAAGCAGGGATGATCTGTATAAGCCTACCGCTGGCCTAACAACGGTTAATTTCGCGCAAATCAAACTAAAAATATGGGTTTCGCAAAAATATTGGTGTGACGGAATTTTTTAACTATTTTTCCGCTTTTAGTAAGTAAAATCTATAAGAAATAGTAAAAAAAAAAACCCTATGCAATTTTTTTGGTTGCAGATATGTGTAATCAATCGCCAAATACAAATGAGCTAAAGGGCGCCGGGAAACATTTTATTTTAAAAGTGTGGTTAATATGTAGGGGAGTCACGCGGCACTATCACGTGCTGTGCTTTTTTTTAGATTTTTGTATAAAAATGCGACTGCATCAGAATATGTATGCACCCTCTTTCTAATTGACCACCAGGAAAAGTCTCTTATTCTATATAATTTTAAAGCGTATTCCATAAATTAAATTTGTTTTTAAATCAAACTTCGTGATAAATTAGGAACAGAAATGCTAAATTTAAAAAAAAAAAATTGGAAAAAAAAACTCTAAAGGGAAAAGTAACAATTGGTACTTAAAACTTTCCTAGGCATTGCAGAAGCTAATCCTTACATCACTACTTGCCCGCTGACCACAGGAGTGCCGCTGGGCTTCTGCTTTCACCGTTGCTATTTGCGCTTTGCGTACAAGCTGTTTTAGTGCACTGACACTATCTATTCTAGTGACCGAAGTATAATAAAGATTATACTGTACAAAAACTATATTATAAGTATTATCTTCACTAGCCCAGGGACACTACTCAACGCTAGAAGTAGGTCACTCCGCAAACACGTGATAGAAGAACAAGATTTCCCAAGCCGCGCCACTGGCCAGGTTGTTTACATAATTTACAACTTAGCCCTAACTTAATTATGTGCACTTACTAACTACATACACGGCAACCCATCTTAACCCTTGTGCGCTGATACACTCGCATCGCTCTTTATATCGACGACAGGGCGATTATATTCCCCTGGTTAATGCGTTAAGTTAAGGACCCGTTTACGACGACTACTTGAACATTTGTTACCTGGTGTAAACTATAAAATGTAACAATTAACGCGGCCAAAATCAAGACGTTCTTTAAAAAAAGCTTCACGCTGCCTTTCCTCTTATTTTTAAAGACGCGGAGATCCATTAGTTTTCCCGGCCGTAAGACTTGGGGTGCGTTACCCAATTATTGTGGTGGCAACGGGATGCATATATCATGGCAATCATTTACTACTGTGCGTAATGCTCAAACTTAGTATCGCACAACATGGAGGTTTTGCCCAAGTTGCTGCTACTAAGAAAGAATCTTTCAAATTTAAACTACCTTTTATTATATATAATCTAGACGAAGAGGTCTACGCTCGTGGTTTGCCGAGCACGCGTAAGAATCTCTAATAATAAATAAAAAGAATACCAGGAGTTTGCTAAACTAGGTGTTGTAAACTTGAATTTGTTCTAGCTGAGTTCATGGCACAGTAGTTTGACCTGAAGTCAAGTTAAGTCACATTAACTTTAATCCTTTAACATTGTATATTCTCAGGAAATATAATATACTTTAAGAGGGGTTATGAGCATATACTTAGTCTTAAAATTTAAGAGTTGAACATAAGCTTAACTTTAATGTAGTTGAATTGGAGAAAAGGCAAGTATTAGACCCCATTTTTATTGTAGAACTGGCCTATTATGGACAATCTTAAATGACCCTTACTTTCCAAAAGGGGTTTGACAAATAGTTCACTAGGTGTTCGTTAACCCTACAGTAGTCGGAGGGGGTCCCACAAATCTATAAATTATTTTGTTTTCTAAATTTTCAAATTAGATAGAAGTTAAAGTTTAGTGTGACCCGTATTCTAATATCTCAATAAACAGTGTTCAAAAATTTACGGTATTTTTTATTTAATATAAAAGAAAAAAAATTTAAAACTCAAGGGGTCTGAGGGACCTACTGCGACTACTAAAGTCTAAAGAGGTGCGACAACTACAGGGGTTAACAGTTGACGAGTCCATGGATGCTTGCTAGTACAGCTTTTCGAGCTTGGGTTGTTTCAATTATACACTTATTCCTTGTTTCTCTAAGTTAAAACTGACACTAATAGAGTTTGAACAAAAAATTTGATCAACTTTACCTCAGTAACTTGATATCCTGCAAGCCTGTCTACAAAATAGTAACTTCTAAAAACGTAACAAAGCAGATGCTAGGGCCAAAAAACGGTAACGAAGGTAGCTCGAAAATAATTTCTTTTCCCCTGGGGCCGCCTCACGGTTAACAATTTTTAAGAGCAGGCCTTTTAGGCCGTGGGTCAAACAACTTTAAAGTTCATCGCGGTACAAGTCAATTCTGACAATAACAAAGCAAAGCATGGCAACCATATTTATAGCTCACTGTGTATGCTTATTCCTATGATGAGGAAAGATAGAATACGCAGTTTAAGTTATAGCAGTGTAAGGGTTTTAATATGCCAGAGCAATAAATAAATAAATAAGTAGAAGAACTTCTCACTGATCGCATTATTAGTATTTGGAAGTCTACCTGGCCATTAAAGCTTGTAAAGTCTTCAAAATGTTCAATTTCCCACCAATTGTTTATTTGTTCCATAGGGAATCCTAACTTCGCAAGTTTATTAATTTAAATAATCTGGGGTCACTGGCCAAAGAAATTTTGGCTAGTGGGACGCTCGTGCTGAGTTAACTCCTCGATTTTTCCAGCTTAAAAAATAATCCTTACGATGTTTCTACTTTAAAAAAACTATTCTAATACGTAACCTGCTCAGCTAACGTTAGAGACTTACCAAAGATACCCCAGGGGCGTGTAAATAACAAAGTACTCTGCAACATTGCTCGATATTGCAGCGGTCTTCTACTGCATTTACTCAACAGTGATGTAGTACTTGCAGAACTCGGGTTGCAGAGAAAGATTTTTTAAAACAAAAGGAGACTGGTGTAATTTCAAAGAAAAGTAAATAACAAAACTCTCAGTTGCATAACTTGTCAATTATTTATTAACTTTTCTTACGCGCTACTAACGTTTTTAATTATAAATATCTGTTATCTGCGCATTGCGCGTGCATAAATAGCACCATTTACATACTTGCGCTGCAATGTACTTAAAAAATAGGTAACCTATTTACAATACCTAAAATTTGTTTACAAATTACAACCATAAACTATATAACAAAGTCAGAATGACTTAGAAACATTTTGTACCAAAATTAAACTAAAATGTTTGCAGTAAATTAAAGTTTTCAAGTCAAATAGTTACAATATTGTAAATAGGTATTGAGTGAGTTTTAAACTCTAAATCAAAAGCTTAAAAAAATTGTATATAAACTATTCTTAATAACCATTTTGAAAAAGTACAATGAAATTATAAAATAGAAAGCGTATTGTTAATAAAATTTTTCAAGTTTATAGATATCTAAATCTTGTTCCGTTTTCTATATAAATCTTAAAAAATTACATTATTTTACAACCTAGGCCTTAGGTACAACCCTTTTCGTTCTCTCATAACTAAACAAACTAAACTAACAAAAGATATCCACCAACTAAGTAATTACACTTCGGTTATAATCTTTATTTACGTTCGCAACTTTGCTAACCTTGATGTTAAACGCAATTTATAGAATTTTTCCGGCAAAAACAGAGCTTACACATAAGCTAAGACGTGCACAAGAATATTTTACTACAACGTAATGGAAAATTAATAAATTACATCAAATCTAATATAAGTGTTTTAGTTTGTGGTACCTTTCGCCTATCTATGTAGGGGGCATACTTGCTTGAAACTTTTTCTTGCAATTTTTATAGAAAAAATTGCTGCCACTAACTCTAAACGATTTCCCTTCATCGAGTCAGTCACTCTCATAACCGCCATGCGACACTGCTATATTTATCAGGAAATTCAAACTTTTTTTTCGGGGTAATATAGTATTTGCTTCAGTTTAGTAGAAGAAATTTTTTATAAATGTTTATTAAGAAATAATTTATCCTTTATAAATTAAATGGATTTGACAGCTGTTGTTCCTTCGAAAAGTAGTTCACAATTTTTTCTGGATCTTAAACCTTTCGCCGTTACCGCGCTTGAAAATCCTACAGTTGATAATTTTTCTTCTTACTATAACAAGTTACAACAGGTCGAACTTATTGTCTTGTATATATTAACGACACCAAATCTCGTATTTTAGGTTAAAGATGATCCAGAATTAGAAAAATTTACATTGTACATTTTATTTCCTTGTCAAGCAATCTTTGAGTACAGGTTAAATGTGCCTGAAAAAGTTAAAGAGATCTCTTTATTAATTTTTGGTTTAATATTCAAGTAAGCTTTTATGTATTAACCTCTTTTATATATATATATATATATATATATATTATATTTGGGCACAGCTCTATAAACCTTTACGAATTATCTGTGTTTCGCCGATATTCAGCCTTGTTTAACGTTTTACTGGCACCAAAATTTCTTCTCTCCCAGAAAGCAAAAGATTATTCACTTAATGAATATTTGAAGGAATTTGTTATTGATTCTTACCTTAGCTTAATAAATAAGTATGACTTTGACTTAGAGTAAAAGTTTTTTTCTCTTAAACTTATTTTTATTTCAGCTGCACTAAAAACTTTTTCATAAAGCGCCAATTTCAAGATTTAATACTGAGCACAGAATATCGAACATCTCTTGCGTTTACCATCTCATTATTGCTGGAATTCTGCGATGCTAAATGTTTCAATCGTGGATTGAAACTAAAATCACTTAAGTTGCTTAGTCTAATATTTGAAGTAATTTTCTAAGTAAAATACTTCAGAAACGACCTAATTTTTGTTTCCAATTCTTATTTTACATTTTTAAGGTTGGGGAAGGATCTCTTGAGCCTGTAAGTGATGCTTGGTCCCCTTTTCTCCCGGGAATTCTATCAATCCTGGGAAAAACAATCTACTCTGACCAGCGTCAGGGTTCCGAAGTAGTCGCCCTCTCCATTACCGTTTGGGGAAAAATCGTTTTAAATTAAAATTACTTTTTTTTTATATTTATAACAGTTTATGTTTTAATCAAGATTTCAACTTGCCTTAACGATAAACTCGCTTTAAAAAAACACCAACAAGAGACTTGTAAATTAATTTTTTCTTAAATTCAAATAAGAAAAGTTCAGTTTTATAAACTTATAGCGCCGTTATTTATTGAACGTAGTGAGCAATGGCTAACCACTACAGTGGAACAAGTGCATAAAGTATTTACTTTCCACTGGTTTTTGTCAATTCGATGAATTATAATTTTTTTATAAGATATTAGCAAGAGTACTTTCGGTTATGCTTCATCCTTCTCAGAAAGTTCGCTTGGCACTTTGTAGGCTCTGCGGAACTTTTCTCCGACAATCATGCAACACTCTTTTAAAACAGTCACTCGGTAGCTAGTAGATTCTTTTCCCTTATTCTTTTCTTATTTTTTTATTAACAATAGACCAAATTCTTTCTGTTCTAACCACTTATATATACGACAACTATGATAATGTAAAAAACTTAGCCAAAGAAGAAATCAACAGCTTGGTTTCTGTAGTGCAAGACTTGTATTCTCGCTTTTTTTATATATAATTAACTCTTTAATTTCGTTATAATAAGTATTTTTTCTTAGAGACGCTCATAACTTGCTCATAGTTCATAAACTGGAATTGAATTTCCGCGAGTGTCTTTCCTCACTTCCAGGATTACTGCGGACGTCTAACGACGTTAACAAACTGGCGCTAGTCAGGCTGGTACGGGTAGCTTTCTCCATGGTGTGGGCTTTTCCTAAGTGAAACTCTGCCTAACCAACAGCTCTGCGGCTACTGCGAGATCCTGCAGAACCGTCTTAACACTCTGCTTAGTAACCCATTGCTTTGGAATAGACTCTCAGTAGCCCTTATGGAGGTGCTAGCCCTCGACGACAGCCCCAACACGGGCATATTTGACCTTGCCAGCGATATTTCTATAGGTCGGAGACGTTTCCTGCACTTCAGGTGGTTGCCCTTCCCCTTCTCTGTTGGCTTACCCGATCAGTTCAATATATTTGCTTCAGTAATGCCAATATCGAATCTGCCGTTCAATCGCTGTGTCGTCTGATTGGCCAGCACTGCGACCTTTATACGTCCTTTGACCACTTTTCTAGTGTGCTGCGTACCTCCACGACCCACAGGAAGCAGGTGTTGCTTTTTCTTCTCGGCTTTTTGCTTTTGGTGGCGTATTATATTTATAAACTCTTCTTTAGGCCGCTTATGCTCTAAACCAAATTTTTAGCGGGGCTTTTTCGCTGGTCTCACAAGAATGTCATATACAGTCCCGTAATTTTTTTTGCCGTGTCACTTTAGTAGCCACGTTTATCATTACATGCGTTGTGTAGCTATTAATAATCTTGTGAAACTGAAGGAATTAAGTCTGACGTTCATTTATGAGCTTATCTCATCAAGGCAATTTCAGTTACCTGTGACTCAAGGTAGCCTAAGGCCTCACTTAGAATACTATTGTACCGCACATGACCATTTTGGTGTACTGCTAGAGGAGAGCGACCTATACGATGGTCAACTGCCTGAGATTAATATATGGGACAACGCCACACTCTGCGGTCTTCTTCTGGAGTGCTTTGGTTCTTCCATTTTACTCAGCAGGCCATCGGCGCAGACTCTATTGGTTATGCTACTGCAGGAACGTGCCTGAAAATTTTAGGTCCAGAGTGCGACTCTATTTTATATGACCTGCTGTACCCCCTCGTGGAAGTTTACACCTCGGATTCGCCTTCTGGTTTTCATTTCGACTAATAAACACTAATCCATGGCGTGATGTGTAGTGACTTCGTAGTAAAGTCTTCAGCTCACGCGGTCCTTCAAGAACTGTGTAGCCTTATTTTCTACCAAGAAGAGGTCTTTTCTCAAGTATCGTGAAGTTTTGAGCACCCCTTTTTATACTCAATAGAGGAAGTACCCAAACATTGAGGAGCTTCTGGAGCACAACTTTGATTACCTGATCGACAAAGTTTCTAGAAACCTCCGCTTTCTCGTAGATTACCCGAGGACGCCGGTTGTCCTGTCCCTGGTTGTGCAGTTCTGGTTGTCTCATTTACTTGGGGGTACCCACCCGTTCTTCGCTGTTACTGATTTTACCTTGTATATTTAGCTCCAGGGCTACCCTTGAGCAGTTCTCAGATGTCTTGCGAGACATAATACTACTGATGACTAATGACCTCGGCTTACTGAGCACTCAGCTTCAACTTTACCTCTATTCCTTTAAATCTATACTCGTAAAGCTTGAGACCTGTATCCATCCCGAAAAAGACACCATCGAAGAGGAGGCCAAGGAGTGCACGTGCCCCTTTGTTCACCTTGGTGTATCTATCGTAGATCACGTGTTGCATTATCTTCCGGACGATCCGCCTGCATTGCGTCTTGAAGGTTTCTGTACAAACAGACAGCGGGCCACTTGGGCCTTAAACACTTTTAATAGTCTTGCAGGTTGTTGCTGCGGGCGCCCGGGCGTTGCGGCAGCGTCCCCGGGTTCTTATGCCTTTGATTCACAAGATGTGGCCGGGTCTTATTAATCGGTACATTTCTGGAAGACCCTCCGACTTTAAGTTGCAAAGGCTAACAATGAGGCTTAACCTTCCAGGTTGTCAGATGATGTCGCTCCTGTCCGACTGCAAACTCTCCGCACTATTCAGGTCTCTGGCCTCAAAATGGCAACTATGATGCATTAACATTTATATATACTGCAGGAACTTAACGTATGCAGCGCCGACTTCGTGTTCCGCCGTATCGAGAAAGACGTTTATCCTTCTCTCCATTCGATCTTAAGTAATCCGCCAAAGGCGCCCGACTTGCCTCCTCTGCACGTCATCTTAGTCACGGAACCCGTCTACTCCTTCGCGTATAAACTGCGGTGCTGTGCGTTAGAGTTTATTCTTGGCTGGCTAGCAGGCTACCAGCGTTTTTCGCTTGCTGTCCTCGACTCTCTCATGATGCTCACTTTGCCTTATCTCCATCCACTCCAACCAAAAGACGTAAACGCTTGTATCCATACCCCCGCTAGTAGAATCGTCTCATCACGCAATGCTCTACCAGTTATTTGAAGGTGCCCTGGAAATTTATTCTTTACTAGCGAACAAGCACCCCGATGTACTTTGGACGTTTGCTCATGAGTTTACCGAGCAACTTGATAGGTACCGCCCTGCGAGCAGCCGCTTAAAGCAGTATGGTGCACAGGCGCTTGCCGTGGACATGAGGCCAATAGCGCAAGTTCTTGGCAACATCAGAATACCCTGACCGCTACAGTACTTTAATAAATCACTAGCCACTCCCCTTTTTTTAAAAAATCCGTTCCTGATAAACTTTATGTTGTTTTACTATAATATCTATCTTAAGAAAATCCGATTTATTAATTTTTTAACTTTTACTAATTAGTTGTGCTCACGCAAACGTAGCGAAATAGCGAGGCGAGATCTGCCTGCGTAACACCGGGTATTCGCGAAGCCACACCGAGGCTCCGGGGCCTTATTTGAGTCAGTTTTATTCTGGCCTCGCTTTTTAAGTTGGGCACTCTTTGATGAGTGTAGAAAGTAGAATACTATAAAAATGGAAAGGCAGGGGTACTAACTTATGGAAGTCCAACTCAGGAGGGATGAGTAGATTTTCGTCCTTTTTATAAAGTTTTATGGTCTCCCTCTGATCCTCCAGATAGGGGGCGTACTTACCTACTTTTCTATTAAAAAAAAACCTAGAGAGCTATTCGAGAAAAAAACCTTCCGCGTTAAGAGTCCGTAGCAGCATTGGACTAATACCCTCCATTTCGAGTTCCGGTAACTTCTCGAGAAGCGCCGTCAAATGGAAGTTAGCAGAGAGCAAGTCCCACGCGCTAAAACAATAATCAACGGCACTGAACGTGTGTAAATACCAAAGACCTCTTTCTGGGGCCGCTTGCGCACTCCGTCACTTTGAAGCCGAGACTCCTCCACTCCTTCATGTTCTTTACAGTGCTTATGAGCTTCTGCTTGCACAACTCAAAGTCGCGGGAGAAACTCTAAACAAGTAACTAAAATACTTATGGATCGGCAAAAAAAAGAAAACCATGAACTTCCGAGCCCTCGCGGACGAGACGCACCCAATAGCGATTCCTTTTGGCGTGAGTCGCTGATCGGCATTGTCCGAGCGGAGAGAGAGCCGGTATTCAGCCCGGCTAGTCAGCATATTGTGGGATGCACTACAGCCAGTTTCAAGTTTCTATGCCAACCTTGTGAAGATCCTGTACGGCTCGGAGGCCCCCTGAGTAACCAGATCGTCAATTAACACGCCGATGTAACTGATGACACAAGCAAAATCAATGAGCGGAGTAGCCCCTAGTAAAAAGTGGGAAGAGCTACCCTTCCGACCGGTCTACTACAAACTCGGCCCTCTCCAACACGCGGCAGGCAGCATTGACGCCGGCTACCAAACCCTGAGCCGCCGCTTCCTCGTAACCCGTCGTGCCGTTGATCTGCCCGGCGAGGAAGAGACCACCAATGCGCTTTGTTTCCAAGGTGTGCTTAAGCTCACGAGGATCCACATAGTCGTATTGCACGCCATAGCCTAGTTAATAAGGCTCTGCCATCAAATACGCCAATCACCGTTAAAGGGGCGGAACACCCACCATAACACAGAACCTCGCACTTTTCGAGGCCTTTTATACTATTAACAATCCGCTGCTGATACTCCTCCGGGAGCGTCATGGACAAACCGGAGGGGTAGATGACGTGCGTATCGTAGCCTGTAAAGGTCCTCTGGCAGCCACGCAACTGCAACCGCTTCCGTAATGAAAGAATACCTTCTGGTTCCAGCCACACTTGATGCCGGTCGCGAGTGAAGCGAAGAACTTTTGCTTCAAGGGAAGGGCAGTATCTGGCGAGTGAGAGGCGTGAGCAAAATTTGCGCGGTTTACATCCCTGCCCGCCAGAGGACCTGGGGCCTACAATCTCCTCAGCAACATAGATGTTGAGGTGAAGCGAGTCACGGATAATTTGGTGGACGAAAGGATTGGTATAAGTCAAGTAGCAAGGAAGCTGGTTGTGCTGGAAAAAATATTAAAAAAAGGGGGAAGATACTCCAGTACAATCATACATACCGCGTTTGGAATTTCGACAGTCATAAAAGAAAAAGGCGTGGGTGTTGGATCACCACGAAGTGAAGTGAGCTCGCTAAAGTCAATAGTATCTTTGTTCAAGCGGGGGGGAGTGCCTGTTAGCGCAGCGGAGTTGTGCACTTTCCAGGGTGTTTAAAAAAATTTAATACCGGTCCGTAGTCTCCCCATTTGGAAACCACAGGCTCGTAACGCTTTTGCTAAACTAACGGACACTTCATCTGCTCGCAGTAATAAAAGTAAGCAACTGGAAACAAATATTGATAAGCAATTATTAAACAATTTTGCTTAAATTAAATCTATTCAAAGTGAATATAACAAAAGAAAACTAAAGAGCGTAATACCATTTAATCTTCCTGCAAATTTAATTTCCAGTCCTGTATTTATCGTCCCATTTAAAAATGTTCCTGTCGTAACAACTACAGCTTTGGAGCTTATGATTTTGTTATCAGCTAAAAGCTTATATTAATTCCCAAAAAAAAAAGTAAAAATATTGATAAGCTTACCTAAAATAACACCAGACACTTCCAGAGTAGACCCAGACTGACTAAATTTAAAACTTTCCACGGAAGATTCAAGTACGGTAAGATTAGGCAAAGAAAGCAATTCAGAAAGCATGTTTGAACGGTACAAACTGCGGTCGATTTGTGCGCGTATTCCCTACCACAATCTATAATAACTTTAATCTATATAGTCAAATTATTTACTAAACCTGAACTGCTTCCCCTTTACTGAGGTTCAATAGTCTGAACATAACTCCCGATTTATCTATTATACTTTAATACTTAGAATCGAAAAGAGTATACGACTACTCCACTAGAGAATATATAAAAACACCACAAATCCTTCCGCACAGTCCATCAAGAGCGTCTATTTCCCTTACCAAATGGCCTTTCCCTACTCCTCCAAAGGAAGGATTGCAAGACATGATGCCAATGGTTTTGATTTTATGTGTAACTAGCAGCGTTTTAGCCCCCATTCGAGAAGCCGCGGCTGCCGCTTCACAGCCGGCATGACCCCCTCCAACAACCACTACATCAGCCGAAATATCTTTCATATGTAATATAATATATGTTAAAACCAAAAAATGGTAGAATATGCGTAGGTCAAAATTTATAGTTTATTCCATATGTAAAAAAAAGCAAATAGTAAAAAACTTACAAGAATCAAACCGGAAAGAAAGAGTATATTTTCTTAAAGTTGTACACAAACTACTTTGCAACGGGCTCCGTAAGTATAAGCCGTTCATCTAAAGATATATTGTTAACGTAAGGTAAAATTTATAATAATTAAATAACAAGCTGAAGTCTCGAAACATACTTTAAATTATTAGGTAACAAGTTAAAAAAAACTTACAAGAATTAAACAAAAAATAAGTGTATATTTTCGTGAAAACAAGTTCCGTAAGTATTAGGCGTTCATCTTAAAATATATTGTAAACTTATGATAAATTTAATAAAATAAAAAATATTTAGCTATAGACTCGATTTATCTTTAAAAGTTACTAAGTAACTTTATTAAAAGTAAAGCGACTTGGTGAGCTCCATACCAGAAAAAAAAATTCGTATACATTAAAACAGGAACATTTTTTCAGGCATTTGATTACGACACGTGCACTATTACAATTAAGGTCGAAAAAGGGCACGGTTACAGCCCTAAAAGTTTTTGTTTTTCTTCTTGCTAATTTTAAATTTTATTAGAAACCGCTACTAGCATAAAAATTAACTTTCGTAATGTCCAAACCTATGTCATTTACTATATTAGTGGCAAGCGACTTAGAGGTTTCAAAATAATTAAATTAGATATTTAAAATTGTTTTAGGGTAAAACTTAGGCTTCTGATTGATAGTTTTGTAAGCATTGAAAACCTAATGAAAAGAAATATGGCTCAAGCGCATAAATACTAATTAAACAAGAAAATAGAAATTACCAAATCCTGCAGGAGAATATTCCTGCTCTTTGTTTATTTAGTGGGGAGAAGCTCCAATATATTGTATATATTGTTTAATAATTTAAATACTTCTGAAATAGATAATAGCGATCGCCTTCTTGACACTGGTTGTGTTAGCGCCCTTTTAAGAAGTCGCAACGGTTTGGTTTATACGTATAAAGCTAAAGAATATTGCATAGTTTGATAAATTTCGGAAAGGATATCTTTTAATAAAGAAATAAACTAATTTAATAATTTGAAGTTTATGTATGAATCCGTGGTCCTAATTTAATAGTTGTCGTTTATGCATCTAGATCGTAGCTTGAAGACTTCTTTAGACGGATATCTACGATATTATTTGGTAAAGTTTATGATATTAACACGTCTTCTCTCTTACAGCGATCTGTCAATATCTCTCAATGCAAAGAAGATAATAAACAATTGGGAAGCAATTTAATTCAAAATAATTCAAATAAAATACTTTAAAAGGAACTGAATTATTTGTTAAGGTAAGTTACCCTAAAAATTAAGGTTTAATCTCCGCCGTACCCAAAGATATATCTGAATATTATGACGTTAACATGAAAACTGAAAAGAATTAGCTCTAATTGTTAGGTTAATAAATTAAATTTCTGCCTCAATAATTTAAGTACATTCTCATAGACACATCGGATATAAAATGGTTACTCTTTACAACGATTGCTAGAAAGTGAGCCCACAAGACATTTCCGAAGCAGTATATGGAGTGTGGCCATCTCCTCAGCGCTTTTTCAAACTAATTAAAGCATCTGTCATAAGCCTTTTCCACCATTAAAGAATGACATGAGAGTCGCTAAAAGCAATAAAAATAAGGCACTACTCTTCTCCTACCCTTAGTTGGTTTAGTGCATGTCTTTAACTTGGATTGCGTTAAAGGCAAAGGTGAGATACAGCAAAATAATTTAGCGATATCAACGCAATTAGAACAGAGGCAAGTGTCATGATTCACGGACACACAATGCACACATGCGTCGCTTGTTGAGCATTTTACTTTCTCCTCAAAATAAAACGTAAAAAAAAAGTTGGTGGTTTCTAATCTTCACTAACATATAGTTTACAGAGAGCCTCTATGATACATCGTAACTCTAAACATCATGCTTGGGGACACCATGGAATAATTCGCCTTTTTAAGGTTAACAGTAATGATGGCGCAGGGCGTTTGTCCCAAGGGCTTTGTTTTTTTGCAATATTGTAATTATTCCATGACAACGCCATTGGCGAGTGCGACTAAAGCGCTGTAGATCCTCGCGCAAGGGTGCTCGCGTGCGAAGATGTAAATGTATGGCATAACGCGCACACACCTTTGCTGTTAAAAGGTATATGTATTTAAAGGTGCAGTCCTTGTTAGACTTTCGACCAAGTCAAAGTGGGCGCTCGCCATAAAAAGAAAAAAATATCTATATAAAAATCGAATCCTTAGGATCCTTTAGGACACAAACGCGTTGTAAAATAAATTAAAAAAACTACAATGCTCAAATCGTAAAGCAAACTCTCGGGATTCAGTAAAGCGGTTTTTTTTTTACATTAAGGACAGTGCCTGCTACCTTCTTTAACTTAAAGGTACTGGTAATCCAGTTAATTAACCAGAGGAATTGTTACGTTGTTGAATGCTCTTACCGGATTTAACCTGCGTTGACAAAGTCGCGGTGCAGTATGATGGATTTATCTACTTTGCCAACTGCTGACTAAAAACTGAGGGGTGGGTCGGGAACTGTTTGGCATAGAGGGGGCTGGCCCCGAAGGCCTTAGGGGCATCACCATCAAGTTTTATACGGTAGCATAGACAATTCATCTCAACCATCAGAAATTTTCTTATCTTAACGATGATGCTGTTCGGGTTCAAATACCTTTTATCTCAATAAGACTTTTTTAAGCTCTTTGATCTCGGCTGTGGGGTGGTTAACTCAAGGTGTTCATAAGCATCAACGAGAAGATAATATAACCCATCTGTAAAAGCCCTGATAAATGTACTCATTGACTCTCTTTTAAGGCCAGCTCGAGAAGAATTTGCAAATAGTCCGATAAAAGTTCGTAAAGAACCTTAATTGATTTTAAAAAAAATTTTCTAGGCTGGGACTCGGCATATCTGAGGCGCTCTACTTTACCATGTGTGTTAAGGTAATGTAGTCCTATAACGTTTATGTTTTGAGGATGCATTCATTTAAATTTTTGTTATAGCTGTTCCAAGCAAGGTGACAGCAATCAAAGTTAGCACACAAAATAGTCGTGACTTGGTAAAGGCACGTCAAGAATCGAGGTCTTTAACGGCTTTCTCAGGGGCTTACCAGTTGCGTGCCTTTCTATTAATATATATATATATATACGTATATGATTAGCAAAACTAAGCGAGAACTATATCTTACCGGGCATCGCATTGTTTATTAGGTGAAATTTAAACATTTGAGGTCTTGACACACCACAAAGGTAAAAAGGGGGCAGGTTGGGATCTTCTCTTTCCCACCTTAATTGTTTCGCCCGGGTGGTTGTTTTAGTCACGAAAAAGGAAGCTGGTGGTCTGCTCACTCAATCTTAGCTCTTCTTTTATATTTTTGACGATCGCATTCCTCACGAACACAGACTCTGTTTTCTTATGTTCTTATAAAGAACAGGAAGAAAGTTAAGCACACCTCCTCTCCGACATAGCTTTATGTAGGAAGCAACATAAAGTTATACAGGATTATATATATTATAAGCTGATCGCTTTTTGTCCCACTAAATAATTTTTTATGCACGCAAATTAGAAAAAAGGAAATTTTTTTTTAAAAAACTAGTCATTTTGCTTTATTCGAGTTTCTTTGTGATTAAATCATAAAGTTTCTTTTAGTTTTTGTGTGTTACGAGAGATTGCTTATAATTTTTAATTAAATCAAGGCTATCTTATTAACAATCATATTTTCTCTAATACTCTTAAGTCAACAAATTATTTGATACTGCTAATAAAATATTTTTTTTAGTAAATGAATGTTTTTAAATGTATCTAACTTATTCAAAAGCATATATAAAACTAAAAATTATATGGTTTTTAAACGTACAATATCTCCGTACAAGAAGAAACTTAATAAAAGATATATATTGTCAAAAGTTTATTTTTATAATTTTTAGGAAGTGATTCAATAGTTTTGAACTCTACTACTTAAATTATGTCAAATATAAAATAAGCTATACGAGAACTTTAAACAATCAATTGTTGCTGTGCTGCTGTTTACGAGTGTACACGTAAAAAGGTTCGAAGAAATACTTAACTAATAGCCCCAAAGCTTACAACAAAACTAAAGAGAACAAAAATTCGAAATAATTATATTAAAAAAATATTTATTTATAAGCAGTTATTCATGTATAAAAGCGCTTCGAGATCGCCGGTGCATGTACTGCCGGTATTTGCGTTTAGAGGAAAGACCTACAGCAGATATATCGGCTCCATCAATTTTTTTGCCCTAAATTCATAATTATTAATCAATAAATAAAGTTGTAAGCGAAAAAAGCAAAATCGATATAACCCGCGAAAATATAAAATTAACTAGAATTTAGAAACCTATTTTATAAAAAATAGGTAAAAACTAGAAGGGAACTAGAACAATACTAGAGGAATGAAAGCTTTATAAGTTTCAGAATGAATAATTTTAAAAAGTTTCGTCAAAAAAGTTAAGTAGATCTTCTATAATAAAAACTGTTATTACGTGAGTAGAAGAAAATGCATTAAAGCCAAGCAGCTTGTACATAGCGGCAGCTTCATCATCACTTTCAAGTTCGCCCTCACCATTCTTTTGCTGACTACTCTCGCTCCTCTGAAAACTGCTCTCTTTCGTAGTTTTGCTGCTCCTTCTTTTAGTGCTTCTGCTTCGCGATTTGTTCCTCTTTATTTTTTGTGCTAAAAACATTTTGGTGTAAATTTCTTCTTATTAAAACCTTTTATAATACAAAAACCTCGTCTGATTTTACGATTAACAACGGAAGTTAAGGATGCGGAAGTTCGAACTCGCTCTCTTCCAAATTCGTCAATTTCCACCTAAAAAAAGTGTCAAATGATATAAATTTAATCAAAAAAAAATAACCCGAGTTTTACGATCTTTATTGCGAGTACGGTTTCTGGATCTACTTCGGGAACGGTCTTTTGTTTTCCTCCTGCTTCTACTACGACTTCTTTTATCTTTGCTCCTTTCTTTGCTTCTGTCTCTACCCCTATACCGGTCTTTATGAATTTCTTTGTTCCTTTCCTTTTCATGGTCTTTTTCACGTCGAGAACGATTAGATCCGTGCCGACTGTGATTATCTGGATTATCAAGATCGACGTATGACATGCAGCTTAAAAATCAAAAGAATGGCCTCATAAGGGGGGTTAAACATAGACTATAACAAAAATTTTTAAAAATATTCCAAAAAAATATTTTCTGTTTATTGGAAAAATATTATTAAAGTATCTATATTAGCTAAATATTAGACTATTCTAGTCCTAAGAAAGGTTTAGAGTAATTAAAATATATAGGAAGGAAGACACAAAGGGAAGTGCATATGCTTTGCAGACGAGGGTGAGATGGCATTGGGTTTCGCCTGGCACACGATTTCCTCTCCCACCCTTGCTTTTGAGCACGGAGGCGCAACTTTGTAAATGTGGAACGTTTCCTTGAGGAAAATTGCTTTATCAAGTTCTTTACTATCTCTTTTTGCCCTTTTTCCTTACTGTTTGTTAAAAAGAAAGAAAAAAGTATTATTTATATTAACCGAACTTTACCTTATTTTACATGCTTCCTTGAATGTAAATATTTTGCTTGCTTACAATGTTGAGAATTCGAATATGTGTAAAATGAGTATTTTATTAGTTATTAAAAAAAAAAAGGCCATTTTAGACTTATGTTAATTCTAGAACTACGATGTTAGTACACCTGAAGGTTTGGCTCGCTGTTTAGCTGACTCCGGAGCTGTTTTATTTGGTGCTAGTTGGTGTGGTACATTATTTTTAGCTATAAATTCGGTATAATTTTAACTTGAAGAATTTAAAAATATATACGTACTTTAAGGATTTTGTGAGAAGCAAAAATCTCTTTTTGGAAGTGGGCAGCGCTTTATAAATTATTTCGACTGTTCTTTAAACGGCACGCAGAGAGGCTTTAAAAGGGAATGCTTAGAAAAGGTTTATAATATTTATTTACTGTTTTACTATATATGTTTTTTTATCTTGATATCAATACATTGCGCCTTTAGGGCATTCGTGTTGTACCCTCCTGGCAAATGGGCGACGGGACCATTCTTCATGGTTCTCAAACCTTAATGTCACTAGCTCTACATAGCAACTGCTGGAAAAAACGTTAATATTTCTCTTTTACGCTATGCCTTTAGTTTTTCTCAGGTAAGAGAATTTAGATTTTTGTCCGTACAACCTAGTTTTAGAACTTATTTTTGCTAGTTAATTTTTTTATACAAATTAATTTTTTATAATAAATTTGGCAGTATTTTTTTAACTTGTGTTATACTTTTCCGTCATAAACTAAAAATGTAAATAAATATAATTTACGAGGTTAAGTATTCTAATAAGTTATAATAAGTTTTGTCAGGTTTAGTTCTTATAGTTATTGTTTATTATTTTATATTCACATTCTCTATTACAACTTGTTAAAATTTTTTTTGATACATGGTAACTTTATTGGTATCGTGAGCGCCCGAATTGTTATATGTATTTTAAAAACTTTTTATCTAAATGCCACTCTACGCTATAGGTTGAAGTGGATTGGGAAAAATTAGTCACTTTAAAGTGTACACAGCGACAAGAAAATGTTGCAAACAAATTAAATTTTTTTTTTTAGTAAAAGTATAACTTTTATAGTTTGATTTACTCCTGCTTTTAGGCAAACCGGTTCCCCTTCACCTCTTTTTACGCTCAACGTGCTGCTTTTGTTCAAGCTTAGAACGTTTATAGCGTTTATACACCGTTATAAAACCTATCAGCTCTCATATTTTTTCATCACATCCTTAAAATTTAAAAAAATATATTTAGAGTAAAAAGTAAATATTTAAAAATAGGGGCCGTACCATGTGCCTACCACAATAAGGACTTCTTCATACTCGATTGCTAAGCGCTACACCCTATCTTAGAATAAGTATATTCCTCTGCTTATAGAAATTGTTTGGAAGAATAAAGTTTTACGAGCAAGATGAAAATTATTATCTGAAGTTTTCTTGAAACATGTGCATAGATCTTCGCATTCTTTACCGGAGTTGACCTTTGGACAGTTTCTTTCCCAATTCACATTATAGCGCCGAGCACCTTTATCACTAATTTTCTTTTGACAATAAACTATTCTTAAATAGTGTAAGGTGGATGAAAAAGGAGACAAAAATTATTTGATCTTTTTTCTTTTACCTTTTTTTACCTTACATAGTATATCGTCTATATTTTACACTTAAATAGTATTAAACTTTTTCTATAGCAACTTACCGCCAAGCGCTCTAAGTAAAACTTTTCGCCTACTCTGTAATCCGAAGTTTCCTTCTAAGTACACAAGGTGTAATGGGGCTCAAAGATACTCTTCATTTGGTTCAGAGTTATAGAAAATTGGTAAAAGCAACCACCATATAAGGTTTTTAGAAATAAAAAGTTTAGGCGGATTAGCTCATTCGAAAGTTAAGTTCAACAGAAAATATAATCTTTTCATAAAATTGATGTCAACGTATTTGCAAAGTATTAATCAGGAAAATCTCTAGTATAAAAAAAATACCGGAAAGACTAGTCGAAAGTCAAAGTGCGTAGTTAACCAGTGCTTTATTCCGAATATTAAAGGACAGGGAAGTAGCGGAGAGGAATATCGGGCTGGGACTCCAAGCAAGTGGCCTGGAGTGGTTAATAAATCATCACTAAGGGGAGGCGCCGATCTGCTGCGAATCCAGTTCACACTGAAGAGCACCCTTTTTAACCTTCTCTAGACGATCATAAGATTTAGTAAAAAGTTATCTAAAATATTTTAGAGAAGCAACACTGTTAAAGCGCGCGCCTCTAGATAAGCTTTATTTACTTTAAAAATTACGCCAACGGATTCCAAGGATAAAATTTTAAAAACAATCGTAATAATTTATAATTGGAAATAACCTTTCGCGTGTACAACCGCTACGGCAAAATGTGTGCTTGCATTAAACATGTGTTCAATATACGTTTTAATACCCAAAAATTTAACTATAACTGTAAAGGTTGAAAGACTCAAATGATAAATAGATGCTAAAAACAGTAAATAAGAAGTTTTATTTGAAAAATTCCCCATGTTCATGGTAACCTAAAAACTTAGCGCTACAAACATAGTATTCTATTTAACTTTGCAAAATATTTTAGGGCTCATATGGATTATAACTGCTTTTGTAACTCGTTTATCAATTTATTTTCACAGCTATCATTCTTTACTATACCTTTCTTAAAAGGTATGCCTGACTTACGCTCTACAACATTAACAAGAACCGCTTGCTCTTCAGCGCTGAGACTGTCAAAAAATTGTTGTCTTGCTTTGTCCCTTTCTCCCAATCCCTCTAAGTAATTTTTTTTGTGAACTTCATCTATAAAAAACAATTAAAATACAAACAATTAGCCAATATTTTTTTAAATCCGATAAATTTAACGAGTAGCCGTAATAGTTATATGGTGTAGTAAAATATAAATATAATGGTCTTACAAAAACCAGTTCTAATCATAATCCACTCAAACAGGCACCCCACAAAAAATCCGGAAACCGCAGCTTGCCAAGTAGTTTTATGCAACAAGAAAGCACGAAAAGTCTTCAAGTTCATTAAGCTTAACCACATCAAAAAGGTACAGGAGAAAAAATTTTATCTAGAGGTCTTCACACGTGGTAGCCTAATGGCGTCAAGAAATTAAGGTCTAGCTGCGAGGACGCCTAAAAGCTCCTCTCAAAAAATACCACTCCATTGCGGACAGTCTTTCTTACCTTTTTATACGTGTAACTAAAGGATTAGGGGTACACAATTAGTTTGGTGTTATAATTTATTATTAGGTTAAGAAGTTAACATATTGATTTATAAAGGATTGTTATTATTATTAAACTAATAGATCAAACGAATTTACCAAGAATAAGGTCTTAATAAATAAAAATTTATTTTTATAAAAAAAAATTAACTTTACATTTTCCCACTTATTCTAATAAGGCAATTTTTTGCCTATACTCCCGTACATTATTATTATATTGCTCTTTAAAAGAGGCTTGCTCTCATTATTGTTTATATTAGTAAATAACACTTTAGACCCTATCTTTACCCAGTATCATACTAAAATCATAGCAGCATTGCGAAGTAAGCTTCATTCAAAATAGCCAACATTATGTTAGCTACTTATTGGCTCCCTTGTTTTAATTATTTATTTGTTTATAATTATTAAAATAAATTATATTTTTTACTGATATATTATTTCGCTGTTTTTTGGGGTATACGGGCGTCGATTGAAAATTTTTAACTTTCATTTGTCAGCAAAAGTTTAGTAGTTCTATAAGTTATTACGTGAGCTTTAAGATAAAATAAATTAAAGTAGTAGTTAAAAGGAAATATTAAAAAGTTAATTAAAAGTAATTTAAGCTGCTATAAAAATTTAATAATTAAATAAAATTATCCAAACAGCTTATAAATTCAGGAGTAAAGTGGGTATTACTGTAATAAAGTAAATTAATCTTATATAATTTAAGTTTAAGGAAAA